TCAGTCTTTTTGTTTTTTATTCTAGCTTCCAACCTTATGGCCTGTTAGCACAATGGATACCACAGGGTGCATGTCCGTTAATAATCTTAGAATGGGTGTTTCTACCTCATAATTTTTGGCAAAACTGTCACCACTGCTATTGATATGATCGCGATGGTTATTCAAAAAGGAAGAGAGCGTTTGATGTTTCTAGATGGCACAGAGCCTGATATTATTTATTTACCGCTCAGTACAAAACAATTAACCTTTCTGACTCACCAGTCTTTTGTTTTTCAGTGTGCCTTGGCAGATTATCCAGGACAAAAGTGGACATTATCCACTTTCCAGGACATAAAATCATACAGTCTTTTAACTCTCTTTCTCTATTACCTGTTTCCCATTTGAGCCTTACGCCAATACCTGATGCTCTTACAGTATTTACTGACGGCTCAGGTAGGACAGGGCGTGCAGTTGTATTGTGGAAAAATGATGAAGGGCATTGGGAGAGCGACGTACATGTTGTCACAGGCTCACCACAGATATGTAGGAGGTCTTGGATCACTGGGGGTGTAAAAAAACTAAGGAAGGCGAAAGTTAAGGAAGGGAAGCAAAATGACTTATTTTCATCCAGCTTCATCACCAAGGATATTGGGGATAAACCTATTTTGGTTTCTGCTTTTACTTTATGCTTATTTTTTAAAGGATGTGAGCTAAGAGCAAATAATTGCAGAAGCAAATGTGTTGGAGGAGGAGGATAGATTACAAAGTGGTAAACAACCAGAAGCTAAGAATTCTGAAGGTAATTAAAATAAAGCAACTGAGATGCTGGCTAAGATGTGTATGTTTTCACTAAACTTAGTTCCTTTAAGAGGTTAGCAAATGTTTCAACTATCTTTTACAAAGACGACAAGGTTGATCAGGAGACTGTACAACTCTAAGCTTTATTACTGTATCTGGTAACCTGTGTTAAAGGATAACTTAGAAAAAAAAAACAAATTTGCTAATAAACAAAATTAGATTTTAAAAATCTTGACAGGAAGCCTTGTGGAGGATATTAATGGAGTGTGAGGCTAAGAGAGCAAAGCAAAGAAGGAACAAATACTGATTCTCATCTGGTCACAGGGTTAACAGTAAGTGTGTCATGATTTGTACTATGTTATTTAAAAAACTCTGGAAATAAGGAAGACTAATACTCAGATTGTTTCTGGCTGGAAATGATTATTAAGCTTTTAAGAGATAAGCAGTTGATCTATTTGCATAGGAAATACTTCAGCAGATCATGGTCATTACTTCAGATTGCAGAGAAATGTACTTTGAGGGCAGAAGTTTGGACTCCTCCAAATATCTACATTGCCGTCACTGGCTCATAAGAATGCCTAGATATCTTTCTAAACAGTTCAACAGAGACTGGTGAGAAAAAGATAACAACAGACAAGAAAAAAAAAAAAACCAAAAAAAACCAGAAACCCAAATGAATCTCTGGATATCTTATAAAAGATCTTGCAAACAGAATGGAAAAACACAGTAAGAACATTTATAAGGACAGTTTGGAATACTCAGCTTGCTATAGCTTAACCCATATCAATTGGGAAGGAGGAGGAAAAGTGCAGAAAAGCTTTTTAAAAGAAGACTTAGAAGGTAATTTTATTGATATTTATTGATATTATTGATATTGATTTTATTGACATTTAAATTTATTGATATTTAAGAAATGGTGCAAATGACCCAAATTTCACAAAATAGAGAGATAAAAGAAGTCGAGACAGTTCAGTATATTCAGCCAGTAAATTCTGTGAAGAAAGAGGAAGTCAGCAAATTCAACATCAGGCAAGTTAAACTATAAGATTCATTGCCACAAGAACTGTGTTATGAGCCAAGGTAAGATTCAACAGATGTTTAAGAAAATATTATTTAGACAGGATTTTAATACGATTTTCTTCCACTCATTCCTCATTTTTGATGGATATTATGAGCTTTGAAAAAGCTCATATTGGATATTGATGGATATTATGAGTTCATGAAAAAGAAAAAAAAAAGTAAAAAAAAAAGATTTTCTAGGAAACATCCGCCTCCTTCAAGCTTCTTGTGTTTTCTTTTCCTGCAGCTGGCACTGGCTGCTGTCAGAGTGAAGACATTAGACTATATGGATTCTCTCTGGTAATTATTTCTATTTTCATGTGAGAGGTAACAAACATGAAACCATGGTTTTGGCAGTTATCTGCTGATGATAGTCTGACAAGTTTACTTCAATGGTTTTAAAGTGTCACCCATGAAAACTCACACTCTTGAGAGCTTGAAGAGTAAACCTGTAGCATTTCTATCATGCAGGTGAGCAGCAGAAATAAACATTTTGCATGCCAAATGCAGCACTCAAGCGGGTCTGTGCATTAGTTATGCATTTTTGCTTTCATTGATTTTTAAAAAAGGCGCTGCCATGAATTTCCTTCACTTACATTTAATTTCTCCAGTTCCTAAATATGAAAATTATTGTCATAAGAAGAACAAAAGAGGAGTTACATAAAATATTCCAAGAACACTTTTTTCTTCTGGAAGTAATATTATTACTGAGAAAAGTGCCTTATATTTCCTTTTAAATATATAAAAAGAAGTATTTGCATAAAGAAAATAGATTTCCCCAAATGACAAAAGAAAACCAAAGACATTAGACAGATACAGCATTAACCTGAAAATTGTTCCTAGCAGTTATATGCACTAATGATAATAATTAACATTATAATCGACTATTTCCATAACTCCCATAGGCGAGGCAAGCTCCTGAAAGCAAGTATTATTGCTTGATATTCATGGAGGATGTCATAACATAGCTGCCTATTACTGCCTTGATGATGAAACCACCTGACAGACAGAGATAAAGCTCAAAAGACTGTACGAGTATCTTTAAAATTCCTTGAGAATGACATGACATAACTATATTTATAAAAAGTGCAGTAACCAGAGAGGAATGACATCAAAGAGAAATAAATAAGAAAATATCCACAACTTCTGCACTTTTAAAAGTTTTTATAAAAACATATATATTTCCCTGCCAGACGTACCTTGGCTGACCTAGTGATGGCCCCAATCTCAGAATAAAGATCGCTGCTGTCTGGGAACTTCTCCACCACCATAGTACAGACATGGTGCAGAAGGGACTGCTTGTGTACTGTGTCCTTGACTTCTGGAACCTTCTCAAGGTAGCTCAACTCAAAGGCTTTGGCCTGCAGGAAGAGGAGAGAAAACAGGCAAAAAATCTAAAATTTAAATACTCCTTCTCCTGCAGATTAGTAGAAGAAAATGTGGGGAGTGGCAGAGGAAGAAGAATCCTACAGTAAAATCACTTTTGTTATCATTCTAAATATTTTCAGCTTGCTGAAGAGTAGGCCCCAAATCACTCCACCTGCAGTAAAATGACTCATGACAGTTCTCAGTTTGAAGAGGGAGCAACAATACTGAATTAAAGATACTAAAACCAGAAAACTGCCTGCTGTTAAGTTTCTTCTATATTATACTGAAAGAGGCAGAGTAAACTTATGAAGCAAAATTGAAAGAAGCAGTTTTTTCCATTTTCTAAAAGACTTTTCTGTAAGAAACAAAAACTGGATTGTAACTGTGCAAAGATAGTTTTGACTTTTGTTTTCTGAAGGAGAAATGCTTGAGGAGCCACAGGGGCAACAGGCTTACATTGGTTCCATTCAGAAAGTTCCCAATGGCTAGGAGAGTAGAAAGGATAAGTCCCAACGTTTTGTTATGTTCCAGCTGATCCATTCCTTCCTTCAGGTCTAAAAGTGGCTCTGCAACTTCCTGCCACAAGAAGAGAAACAAGAAAGTAGTTTGCGATCGTTACTCCTTGTTTGTAGCTCTACAGGTTGGATTAATGACAGCAAAGTTTCTGAACTGGAAACTGGCCACGTGTGCTGGCTTTCCTCCACGTTCTAACTAATAAATCCCATGCAAGGACAGAAAAGAAATACATAAAATACTTTCCTAATGTTGCTTGTTTACATATGCAATTGCCTTACTTGTCCTGGGGATATTCCATGATTCCAAATAGAAGAGGTAGTGTCAGTGAAGGGGGTCTTGTATTTGAATTAGAAGCATTAAAAACACATACACACTGAAACCTCTCCAACTACTCTTCTTAATCCTTGAAAAAACAACAAAAAAAAGTTCATGTCTTAATTTGACAACTACAATCTGATCCTAAAGCTCTCTCCAAGTGATGGCCACTTCTGAGTTGTTAGTCCTTGAGTGACTTTAAAACTGAAAAAACACTGCAAATTTTGAGCTTTATCAAAGTGGTCTCATTTTAATCTTTTACTTTAATGCATCTTCCATCCATACACATTATCTAAGAGTGAGTCTATAAACTGATAGACTGGAAAACATAAACTCTGTTCCATTACCTCAGGAAGTGAACCATCCCCAGAGAGTTCAAAGAAGGCCAGTAAGGCTAATTGAGACGAGTGAGCTTACTTCTTCGTCTCTGTGTGAGGCCCAGGGTTATTTATTTTGTATGCACAATAAAATACATATAGTTTGCAAACTTGTTTGTGTCGCCAAATGTCATCCTAGGCTTTCATGAGAAGCATTCTTTTCCCGTATTACTACCCTGTTTATGAACTAAGAAGCCGAAATTAAGCTGTTATTGTAGACCAAGAAGCAAATATTTGAGAACTTCATTGTCTAGGGGAAATATGAGGGTTCACTCAACAACTAGAGTGGTATTTTACCATAAATAAGGGCAAAGGGATGAAGGAAATGTGCATTTCCAGTCAATATAGAGCAGTTGCTGTCTTGAAAAAGGCATGGTAAATTTGGGGCAAATTAAGAGATGGCATGGAGAGCAAAGTAATTTCTACATCAAAAGAAAAGCGCTAAATAACCCAAGACATTATCAAGTTAAACTAAAATCAATTAAGTGCTGCACAGAATTTTTTGAACTGGTTTACAAATTACTATTTGTAACAATTTGTTCAAACGTCACTATGAAGATGAATCAGACCATTCTAAATCTGTTGTAAACATAGGCTTTTGGACCATTTTACTTGCATCAGCTTGCAAGCTGTCTTAAAATCATTTCTCAAAGGTTGCATTTTGACGATGGTTTAAAAAAGTAGAATAAAAAGCTAACAAATAGGCCATACCAGAACTATTTGGTCAGCTACTTGCATGCAAGTTATTCAAACTTAAGCTTTCTTACATATAGTACACATTTATAATCATACTTTATTTTTGTCTTTATTGCATCAGTGGAAAAGAATCAAACCCAGCATACTAGACATTGTATAAACAGACATGAGTTCAGGAGTGAAACTTCAGGACTTTTCCAGAATTTCTGGCTGTGAGACATCTGATAATCTCAGGAAAAAAAAAAAAAAAAAAGCTTAACACGCACACACAAATGGACTCAGCCATGTATGCAATGAATACAACATGCCTGGGACAGGCAGGACCCTAGTACACATGATCTGTACAGATGCTCAGGCACCTGCAATCTGCTGTGCTGGTAATGGGCTGTGCTTACTGCACCTGTGCAAGTTCAACTGTGTGGGATAAACACACACAGATTCTGTAAGGGATAAAACCTGTGAAGATGACCAAAATATAATTTGCCATATTTGCATATAGTTAAGACTCATCTAATGCAAGTATTGTATAATTTTGAAAGAACAAAAATTATCAGAACCATACTTTATCATTTCAGAAAATATTGATGTAGTTTCCTAATTTTCAGACACTTTGAGCATTATTCAAAAGTACAGTCTTCTGAAGATTTATTTCTCTAGCAGTCTGTCTCATGGGAGACAAGACTCAGGATTGAAAATAATCTTTTTGCACAGAAGACTAACTAAACTAAACCCATTTCTCTTCTGACTTAATCATTCCCACTTCTACAAACAATAGTTTATAATTATTTATGATCTTTTAAAGTTATCAGCAATAAGGATATATTTACCCAAAGTGACCATAAGAAAAAAAATCTGATGTAAGACAACTAAGCATTCTATTCCTCTTTCTAAAACTTTTAAACTCCCTTTGAAACAAAGATATTTGATGGTGTCTGCATCATAAGTAATTCCGTACAAAGAGGTAGAAGTAACACAATATCATTTTTCAGGTGCTGTGCAATGAAAACTCTGAAAATGAAGATTTAGAGCAACTCTACTTCCTCTGTTTGTACTTTTAAAATATAACACCAAAAGACAGTGAGAAAAATTATTGTTCCATTGATGATCTTATAGTAATCATCGAGCACCTTTTATACTTGGTGTCATTTTAAAACACCATACATCTGCATTTTTTAAAAATAGATGATCTGGAAAGAGTTTTTCTTCATTTATTTTAGATGCGTTAAGTTTGAATATGCAAAATAATACATCAATTTGATCAAACTTCATACAATATAGAATAGTTTTTGTTGCTCAAATAGCTTACAGTGAAAGCTGCAATTTTACCTTAATTGTCACTGGTACACAGACTGTAAATAGCCAAGCATGAGCATTCACTCATTCAGTTCAGTTTCTCATAGACTAAGACTGCTCCCTGAAAATGTACCCTGAAAATTTTAGTTAATTAAAATGAATCCAAGAAAGAAGATTTCCTTCATTATCTTTGAAAAGCCTTCCTACAAACATGAACAATATCTCACTTTTAATAAATATCTTAATCTTTTTCTTTGACAATTTAATATCATTTTTCCTTCAGGCCATCAGAAATGGAGCTAAATTTTGTTTAGATGAAATCTTGGTCTAAGTCAATCTGCAAATAAGTCTAAGAAATGCCCTAAGATAACCTCAGAGCCTGGCCTTATGTCAATAATTTAGGTCTTTACTTTCATACTATTAATGAACCCACTGAAACTTGCAGCCTATATGGAAATAATAGTTGGGATCATTGATTTTCTACAAAAAATACTGGCACTACTTGATAAATAACATGAGTGCATTTTGAACTTTTATTAATTTTCCTAATTAAAACAAAAAAAAACAAAAAAAATGTAGATACTGGACCAAAATGGACAGAAACTGTAGAGGTGATTTGGCACTTAAGTTTCAGGAAGGGTTTGTCCATCTGCAGATTGATCTTCTACAAATGTTACTGGGGTATGAAACTCTACTATTAACTTAAACAGTAGCATAAACTACTTTATTTATAATTGGATATGCAATGGTGTCTTATTGCAGACTAAATAAGGCTTATGCTTATTGGTGTTGCAGATAGTTAGGGAACGGCGGCCGGAAGATATCGTGCTGTACGGAAAGATAGGGCCCCTAATAGCCAATAGCGTTTAGTTTATGATGTAAGCAGATGGATGTGACGTTGTAAACCCAGCTATATAACACCTTGTTACCCATCAATAAACGCCATTTGCTGTCCACCACACTGGTGTCAACTAGCTGATGGCCCGAGTGGCTTGGGGGTGGTCGCCGTGCCGTCCCTGATCCAGGTCGCTGCGCCGTTTGAACTGCAACAATTGGTTACCTGGAATTGAGCTTAACTTTTGTTCATGGAGAGTCCCAGCTAACCTCTCTGATGCAAGAGAGGTGCAAGAGTTCCTATATATTCCTATAAATTCTATATATTCCATTTTGCCCAAATACGATTCAAGCTGACTGTTAGATATTTATGTCTGTTGAATTACTTATCATAGGCTTCTCCTATTTTATCACAATTATTGTATGATATTTCCTGCATCATTGCATCATTTTATAGTAAGTACTATACTTAAGCTTGTTCCCTACATTATAGATAAAAAACTTGGTTCTGTCTTCTCTAATCACTTCTGTGAGCAATTCAGATACTTGAGACATTTGATACTAACATGCAACTTCTATGGATTCTAGCTGACAATTTGATGGCTTTGTGACATAAACACTATGGGATGGACAATATGAAAATCATTAGTTTTTTTAAGCTTTTTTAGTAGTGCCTTAAATGTTAATTTTTTCATAGAGAGAAAGACAGAAATTCTAAGTACAGACACAGACCAACAGCTACAGCTAACTTTGCTCACATAAAATGTAGGATTTAGTCTTGTAGAAGCTATACCAGAGAAAAATCTGGCAAAAAAAAAAATCAAGCCAGGTACACAGATTTTATGTTTTGCAAGTCAAAAATTCACATTCTGAAATGTAAGAAAATTTCATCATTAGGAAAATTTATATTGAACATTAGTGTGCAAGCAATTCCTAAAATCTAATAAAACTATGCAAAAGTTGAATAAACTTAACTGTACCATCTGCATATCAATTTGCTGCTGCATAAATTGCTCAGTATTCATGGCTAGAAAACCTTAAGACACTTGCAGAGAAGTATATGCCACTTCTTAGAATCCATTACATATAAAGTTATATCTAATCTTACATATACACACAGGTGTAGAGATACATATATAAAACTAACATATATGGGACAGAACTGTCTGAATGACCCAGAGTAATGCATGGGGAATGCAAGAGAAATGCCAGCAGAGGAAGTTACCTGTACAGAGATTCTGGAAAGACCCTGCAAAAGTCAGTAAGCAACTGAAATTGCCCAGTTTAATTATGCTTCACCTATCCACCAAAAGCATGTGTTATCATTTTGGAATTTTTGCATGTGATCACATATGAAACACTCTGATTATACTGTTCTTTGAATAAATGCCAACCAGAAAAAAAATGGCAACAATCGTCCGCAACCAAACTGAACATTCCTGAAGGATGCTCTTACAATTCTGAAAGATGTTGTTAGCAGAAGTAACATTCATGAATGCTGTTTTCCTTAGCCCAGATGAACTTAAGATCACTCCTGACTTTTCATGATATAATGCTGAAGCCAGTAGTCCTCCCTCAGTCTATTCAAGAATAAGTTCTTACCAATTTTAAACAACATATATTTCCTGAATAACAACATCTGGAAATGTGGTAAGGATTTAGCCGCCTTTGTCCAATATCATTACTGCCTAATAATTAAAGGAAGGAAGACATAACCTCTAATTTTCTTTTATAGAAGGAATATATTACGAAGGAACATGGTTGCTGCTTCCTCTTGGTCACCAAAAGTAGTTCATTAACCATACACAGAACATATGCTCATAGAATAATGAAGACTGAGAAGGCTTTAGTAAAGACTTGAAACTGTCTCTACCTCTTCCTCTCTCCATGTCTATCTTACCTTTTCCACTATCTCATAGTCCATTTTGAAGGCCCAAAGCTGCAGCCTGGCTGAGAGCTCACTGATAGAGGAGAGGGTAAGGAGAAACTGCTCTGCACTGCCCAGAGGGATGTCTGGGTTGGCCATCTGTGCCTCCTGGATCTTCTGTTTTTCCTCCTCAGTTGGGATCATGGTCAGAATTTTCTAGGAAGGAGAACAAAAAGTGTTAAGGGGAGTTGGGGGGGCACATGCCTGCTGGTGAGACATACAGAGTTGGAAAAGCAGGAAAACAGAAAGGCAGGAGATGATGGTACAGAGATATTTTGAAGGTAAATCTTCCAGAAGCACACTCCTCCACTGAAGACTCTGCTTTGACTTTATCTGAGCTTGTTTTACACCCGGGTGATTCTTAGCAATGGTAAAAGTCCTCAATCACGGACACGAAAGTTAGGATAGCACCTTAAACAAGCACATTCAGCACAAAAGAACCCAAAGCAATTCCTGTTATCTTGAACATCTGCATTTTGTCCAAATGTGCATACATCCATATGTATAAAAATGTATTTTATTTATGCATATGCAGAACACATGATTAATCACAGGGTCAAACAGGGAGAATGGCTAGGACTGCTTTAATGCCTTTAAATCAAAACTGGCCACCCTTTTGCAAATTACAGATGGACTGAGGGTTGGAGAGAAGTGAAAATTTGTAGCCTGTAATTTACAGCAGGTCAGAAGAGATATTAAGGCCTCTTCCAGCCTTAACATAAATGAATCCTTCAGTACACTCATGGATATACAGAAGTAACCTGAGGCCCTGTTGCAGCTGCAGGGATATTTCTTGCAGCATAACCTGACAACCTCAGTAAGTGAAGGGGCAAACTGTTTTTTTGGACGGAAGCCTGGAGGGGGAGGAAATGCTAGTCCCCAGAGAAGGTGGAGTGGAATAGCTATACCTACCTTGTGATGCAGCAGAAGCTCCTGGCCCTTGCCGCTTTCACCATTATTGTTTTCTGTTCAGTTTGTTTTGCTTTTTTCAATTAAATGTGCTTAATTATTTGAACATAAGTGGTCATTCCTAAACATTTCAGCTGGATTGAGGACAATTTTCCATGAAACACTCACTGAATTCAAAGCTAAGTTATGCATTATGTAGCATATGGACTTTTTTCTCTTTTTATCTGACAGGTTTAAAATATTGATGAAAAAGGATCTCAATTTTTTTTTCTGCTGTCATTACTGCTCAAAAAACTTATAGTTTAATTTGAATTTTTGGACTTTATAAGCTTGTTTACTTGTGGCAGTTTTCCTTCTAGTTCCTCTCAAAAGAACTGCTTCTTAATGAGCTTTTAATATATTAAATTCACTTCAAAATGAAAAAGAAAACCAAAACAATGTAAGTACATCAGATAAGTTGAGATTTCTACCCTGCTGATTAATACCTCATTAAAAGAGCAGATGATTTTCAACAAAACCTATCTTTATTCCATTGAAAAATGATTTTTTTTTGTAGCTCTCTATATTGATAGAGGCTGTTTTGGAGGGAACAAGAGAAAAATTAAAACCCAGCCAAAGAGCTCTCAGCCCTGCCAATCCGAATCAGAATCTGTTCCAGCACTGGACATAGCCAATTGATGCAAGTAGCACAACTGCCCCTTTCCAAAACTGATAATTCATCTGGCTCATTGTACACTGTTGCAACTACGTGTGGAGAGTAAGGAATTTTTCCCTAGCCACTTGGGCGGAGAACAAGGGTTAAGCAAGCAAACAACGTTTGCTTTGTTGAACTGGGACTCTGATTTCAGCGACAGCATTTGTCTTGCTGTCCTGTTTTTTTTTTTTAATGTAGTTCCCTAAACATAAAGAAAGAAGCATTTCTTTCTCTTAATGCTGGTTAGGCACTATGCCTCTCAGTTCAATAGAAAAATCTCCTTGCTTGGGCTGTGTGTAACAATATAATGTCTTTATTTTTACTTATGACCAAAGTGTTGAAGTCTGTGAGCTGCTACTTTAATCTTATATAATCTTATATAAGAATATAACCTTATAATCTATTCATATCCTAAGAAAAAAAGAAGAGAGAAAAAAAGTATCTCAATACACTCAGTACTTTTCCTTCTCATGTTAATGGCTGATTGGAAAATATTCTGATGCACTTCTACTCAGATTGGTGGAATGTGTCAATTGATTTTGAGACATGCTATCCATAAATTCACAGATACTGAAATCTGTAACTTGGATCATACCTAGCATCACAGAATCACAGAATGGTTGAGGTTGGAAGGGACTTCTAGAGATCATCTAGTCCAACCCCCCATGCTCCAGCAGGGACACCCAGAGCACGTGCACACAAATTACAGATATTAAGTAGCTGCTTCAGAGTATTTCTCAATGTTTAACCAAAACATGTATTTAAAAGTTCAGCAAAAAAAAGAGAAGCTGAGTCATAAATCCATAAGAAGAGGTGTTTAGAGGAGAAACCTTAGAAGCTAGGCCTTCCAATGCATATTCCTCTCCTAAATAGTAACAAGAACCCAGAACCCCTTCAAGAGAGCCAGGGCAGCTGGAAAACAGGATCATAAGAACATCCATACATGGAGAGTTCAGCAGTAGCCACATGATGGATGTGAAAATGCTGCTGATGTATTTTTGAAGGCTAACACCTCAGCAGCATTTTCAATTGTCTCCTACAAATAACTAGGCATTTTGGCAGCTACCCAGGAATCCCACACATTTCTGTGGTGGTGCATGGCCTTTACTCTGGAGATTTTGCACTACTTTAGGGCATTTTAAAGAGGGCAATGAAACAGTATGCTTTACTTCCCAGGGACTATCCTCCTCCTCAAGCTTTATGTAAACACCACAAGCCAGTTGCAGGCGACAAAAAGGACCCAAATACTGCAAGTCTGCTGTGCTGCTGAGCTGGGTACTGTAGCAAGTGAAAAGGGGAACATCCAGCCCATGGACCTTTACTTGCAGTGCCAGCTCTCAAAGATCACCTCTGTAGTTGATGTGCTGCTGCTGCTGCCTTGGTAGAATCAGGGCTGCTGCTGCCTCTCTCACAACAGCTAACTCGCCAGTGTTTTTAATCTGCTTTAGCAAGTCACTGTTACCCTTTGTGTGCTCCTGAGCAAGGAATAAAATTCTCCTGTTTTGATGCTCACTCTATGACTAATTTGAACCATTTGTTCAGTGCTGAAAATTGATGAGTCTACCATCTGTCAGTATATTTATTATTTTATTTTTTTTATACTTCACTGACAGCAAAAATAGATAAAAATGTAGCAGGACATAAGGTAACTGGCATTTAATATGACCATTAAATCATAAATAGCTTTGAACCTGATAGTTACCTCATTATGCAGGCCAGTATGGCATTCTTCAGATAAAGTAGAAAAGAATGGGTTATCAACAACCCCTATGCTGATATCCTCCTTGCTAATACAGTGACACAAGGCCATGTGATACACATATTTCATTTCCATGCAATCTTCCACAGTCACTCAGGTGAGACAATAAAATTCCAAGGAAAAATAGGATAGAAGTCTTCAGGGAGAAAAATCAATGATTCTATCCTTCATTTGTTCCCTCTCCTTTCTTTTGTTTTTGGATGCTTTGGCCATATGCTAGAACTTTAACTCAAGAGACACAGCATCAACCTGTTGCTTCCCTGGACTCAATTTTCCTGACACCTCATTTCCAAAAATTTCAGAGAAATCCTTTACAAGGTTCACAGAGCAAAATTTATAGGAAATTCAGGCTTGATTTTAGACACATAAACTGTCCCTAAAAGACTTGGGAAGAGGTTAGATATTTCACAGAGGGCTTTGCAGCAGCCAGTACAAGGAGAAGCAGCTATCTGCACTAACCAGCAAGGCAGATGGGTGAGTGGCTACTCCCCATGTGTTGGAGGAGTCATGGTCCTAAATGTGGGATGCAAAGAAAAAACTTAACCAGAGACTATTAATAGCCTGGAATCTGTCCATCAGTCAGGTACTCACACTACCTCTCTTGGGACATAATGGGACTGCTCAGTGATGATGGACTTCCAGGGGTGGCTTTTATATTTTATTTCCACTGGTTTTACTGGGAGGAAAATTGGGAAACTAAACACCTGCCTCCATTGGGTCCTAAATTTTCTGTAGCTCAGATTCATATGCTATCTATCCAAATACACAAATACAATTAGTGCATATTTCATCTGATGTTTGAGAGGCCTCAACAGAGGATTAAATCCAAAAAGGGCTTTCATACTTTGGCTTCTCAACTATTGATGAGATACATTGGTGGTTTGCTTTACCTGCAAAAACTCCTAACAAAACAAAAGAATCAGAAGTTCAGGACTCTACAGTACATGCATTAATTTTCTTTGAACTCTTGCAAAATGATCAAATTTTGAAAATGGGCTATATTTTAAATGCCTTATAATGATCTCTATAAATCAGAAATTGGTCCACTTCTTCAACTTTCTACTGAATTGCATGAGCATGAAAATATACATGATGTCTTCATTTTCTGCAGAGAGTGAAAGGGTAGTTCTTTAAATAAAGCCTGAAACTTGCTAGGACTGATACACTGGCAGAGAATGTAGAGTCAACATAGCATTCATTGTTTGAGTGAATTCTCTCTCCTGTCTACATTGTGAAAAAGGTGCTTTCTTCTCTGGTCAAGCTAGCAAGCATAATTTGAAATATCCCATCACATTTCTGCAGTGTATTAGATAACTAATTTATCTGCAGTAAACAGTGTAGGATGGCAACCATCAGAACGTAAGTTTAAATACCTTCATCATAACTTAGAATTGATTTGGGAGGGGTTGTTTATAAATTTCACCACTGGCCATTAACATCAGGCTCTCATTTCTTGTAACCATTTCAAACACAGAGTCTTTAAAGTACCTGACATGCTTGACTATAGAGGGTTTGGCATACTCAGAGAGTTTTTTCATCTCAGGTAGTCTTCCTAAAGGCTGGCTTTATTTTGCCTAATTTGCAGAAAGCCCTTACCCATACTAAGTAAGCAGTTTTTTGCTCTACAATGAGTTCCAAAGTGTTTGAACACAGTGAATGCGAAACTCAAAAAAAGGGAAAATACAACCATTTTGGGAAATGCAAGGTGGCAGAAACTTCTTAGCTGGATTGATGCATGCTATGAACACAGACTATGCTTTCCTCTTTGAAAACATGGTTTTAACAATGCATGTCCCACAAGGTAAATGGGCTACATTTGCCATTCTAACAAATCCCCATTCTTTGCACTTTTTCACAGCTCAGGGATACCTAACCACTTCAAACACAGGGGCTAAAAATATTTAGCACCCGTCGCTCTAGAGGATCATAAAATAGGAGTGTTTCTCCTATCTCAGTTAGTTACCTATTTTAAGTTAAAAAGCAATGAATGAATTAATAACAGGGCTTCATACTCAAATGTAGAGAAGCATTCAGCAGAATTTAGGACAGGAGTGTACGGTTTACTGAATCACCATGAACTTTAGGATGAGCTGGACTATTACACATGTGTAGTCTACATCCCAGCACACCGAAGTCTTGTTATCAGTGCTACCATCAACACTATTTTAGTCTGTTGTCCTTAAAAGGCTCCATTTTAAGATACTGACCTGAACTTACTGATCTTAACTTATCCACCAAGAAGCAGAACTGAATTTACACACACAATAATGTGACAGTGAAGATTTTCTTCAGCTAAGAATATAGTACAAACTCACAGTTAGGGGAAAGGAAGGCTCAGGTAACTTTACATTCCTGTTGATGAGCTGCTTCCTGTTGGTTTCCCTAAAAGGTGAAGATCCAAATAACCTTTTCTGAGTTACATCTTCCCTGAAATTTCAGCACAGAATGCAAGTTCCTCATTGCAGCATGTTCCTTCTCTTCGACTGTGCAACTCACACCTATCTTTCCTGCTTAGTAGCCATAATATCTCTTCTAGATCTCCTCAGATGCAGAGCATGCAGTCATACAGCTTTTTAATTGAACAGACTGAATATTTTTACACAGCAGTTCTGTTTTATTCAACCCATAAATTGGCTATAAAATATACAATATATCAAATATTTTGCTTTATTCTCTTCAGCGTGCACTGTTTATATAAAGGAAGCTGATACGTACACTGTAACTGCTTCTTTAATCATAATGATATTCTTTTCCTATTGTTTAAGAAATATAGACCAGGAAACTTTCTAAAAAATCCAGAACAAAAAGACAGCTGTAGTCCCCTTCAACATATTCTTAAACGCTAAAGCCACTGAATAGATGAATATGGTGAGGAAGAGAAAAAGCAAACAGCAGGTCTATCTACACCATAAAAAGTGCAGACAAAGCCTACCTGAGAGAGGGCCCTGCTGAAAGCAGCAGTACCCATGATGACATGGATTCAGCACCTCTTTGTGTAACTCTTGGCCAAGCCTGCACAGCTCAATCCAGCCCTCCACTGAGTACAAAAGTCCGTCTGGCTCTGCAACAATACGCTCTAAGAAAAATCTGCAAATTGGTGCTTGGGGAATGGGTTCTGAGTGCAGTGCAGGGTTTTACCTGATATGCAGTAAATAAACATACACATTGAGAAAAAAATTGCTCTTTTTCAGTGAACACCATCCTTCCCAACCAATGAAGACTTCATCTCCCAATGTACAAAGTACTTGAGCCCTGATACATTTACCCATTTTTCTTGTTTTTAAATATTTGAGTGACCACATTAGGACTACTTACATCCTCTGCTTCAAGATGTGGACAAAGATTTAAGAAATCCTATTATCATGACCACTGGGTAGCTATATCAACAGTGTATCATTTGCTGACTTCTGAATTCTTCAATTTGAAATCTGCCTGCATTTATCATATGTATTATTTTAAATGAAATTATGGGTTTCTGGCATCTAATGGAAAGCCCACCCAAAGAAGAGTGTGGTGGTACAAGGCTCTCTCAACTGTGGACTCCATGTGCCAGGTGGTTGGCACATGGACAGTGCAGCTACAAATTTTGGTGGCACTGGAAAGGGTAGGCTCTCCAGAGTAGCTGAACTTCTTTTCAGTGCACCAAGGAAGGCAAAAATTCAAAGGAGGTGACACATGCAAGATAGAGAAGATGCTTCCTTCTCTATTCACCTAAGTTGGGCCATATGTAGAGAGGCTGTCTGTTGATCTACAAAGCCACTTTTTCAGTTTGATGCAGCATATGTTATGTATATATGAATATAGCAAATAAGTAATGTTATCTCTGCCAAAAAAAAAAAAAAAAGCATCAAGTATGGATAAATGAAGCCTTGCCCTCTAGCTTGCAATCTTTCGCCTTTAAGTATTTCTTTTGCATATAACTATTAGCAGCTCAACTGCCATCCTAGCCAGCTTTTCTCATTTTCTTCTGTAGCCAGCATAGCAAAGGTGGAGAGGGGGAAATACGAAACTCCATGGCAAATCACAGATTCACTGCAAGGTGACTGTGAATCAATACTGAATATATGCAGTTAAACACTGGTTGAGATTTGCAACTCTGAAGATTATACTAACTAGATGATACAGGATTATTCAAAAATCATTTGAAATCAACACAATCACAATGAAAAGGAACAAAGGAGCAGCAGGCTCCTTTTACACTTCACAGAAGAGAAATCTTTTAAGAAAAAATAATAACAAAAGGAGCTCATCTTGGATCTTGGTAAGAATATCTCCAAAAGCAAACATGTAATGGCAAAAATTACATCATACCAACTGCTTTGCTTCAAACAACAGTAACACAAAACTGCTATTGTGAGGAAAACTAGTCACTGTATTTGTTTTCCACTAGATATACTATTGAGTTTAGCAGCCAGCTGTGTGTGAACTGTACCAGTTGTGTCGGCTCTAGAACATCCCTGCCTAAGCTTTGGTGCTGCATGAGCATGTGGATGCAGGCAGAACTTCATCTATGGCTAGAATTTTAATAACTCTAATGAAAGTAACAGGAAACTGAACTTTGCAGGAGTACACACTATTCAGAAAACCTCAATAGGAATTGATGCCACTGCATATACTAACAAATTAGCAAAGAAACCCACATTTACAACCTCAGGTGAATGCTGCACACTGAATACACTGCCCAAATCTGACAAGCCACATAGCTCAGCAATAACTCATACATCACCTTTTCCCTCTTCCATCATATGCAGACCCAGATCATATGCAAAATTTGAAAAAAAAATCAGAGTTGAACACACTGACTCTTCCTTCTTACCTCTATTCCTTCCTTGTTTAAGGCATATTCATCAAAATTCAAAATAGCAGTCTTGATAGTCCGTGGAGGAGGCAACACTGTCAAGCCAATATTAATAGCGTTGCTTCGTTTTGAGTCCAATACAATGATCTCCTGCCGTTTCCCATCTGCAGCAGTTTTCTTGAGAAACAAGAACAAGAAAATTACTTCTCCAGTCTGTTTTATAAAGTTATTCCTTTCATTAAGGACTTTCCCCATGCAAGAGTGCTGACACTGAATATAAATCTAGTTCATTTACAGTTATCAAAGAAACCGGAATTCTTCACCACAGACCCCAAACATCCTTGCTGGTGTCAGTGTGGGTTGCCAGGATTTAAGCAGAGAGATGAAATTAGTCTCTGGTCATGTACAAAGGTAAAATGTATTACTGCGAATCCTGGGAATATCAAAGCTGGTGTGAAGAGTCCGTCTGAGAAAAGCCTGGTGCTTTCACCATGGGGCAAGAGGAAGCTACTGCTGGAGCTAGCTGCAGCAGCGTGCTGAGCACAGCCTGGCAGGGGAAGCAGCGGGAGAGCGGAATGGCACCAGAGCTCAGTTCCTGGCTCCATTCCTCACACTGGCCAGCTCACCTCCTGCCCTAATCATCTAGTTGGAAAATGGACAGGGCAATTTTTAACGACCTATGAGGGCTCTCCCCTGCTGGCCACCCATGAGGGGCTCTAGAGACCCTCCTGGCGAGGCCAGCACAGCCTCTCCAAGAAGAGGGCCATCTCTTCTTGGGCTTTTAGCCAAGCCTACCACAGGCGCAAAACAACTTTAACTTGCCTTTTTAAAAAATCTTCCCTTCCCTTCCCTTCCCTTCCCTTCCCTTCCCTTCCCTTCCCTTCCCTTCCCTTCCCTTCCCTTCCCTTCCCTTTCCCTTTCCCTTTCCCTTTCCCTTCCCTTCCCTTCCCTTCCCTTCCCTTCCCTTCCCTTCCCTTCCCTTCCCTTCCCTTCCCTTCCCTTCCCTTCCCTTCCCTTCCCTTCCCTTCCCTTCCCTTCCCTCCCCCCTTTTTTTTTTTAAGTGCATTCTTTGAGACTAGGCAAAATCTATAGCTCTTACCTCCAGTAAAAACAATAGAACAACAGTGCAAATAATAACAGAACATTCTGTCTACATTCTTAGGTACCAATTAGGCAAGGCAACTGACAATGCATTTATATGGCATAAAGACAGATCTGAATGCAGTTTTTACTTTTACTTTAGAACATGCCTTTTATTCTCTCCTTGCACTGTGCTAGGATGTGTCGCTTTGAGAACTAAACATGTCATAACCCATGTAGCTGACAGAGGACTCTGCTCTGCATGTATTGGAGGGCAGGAGAAGGAGGGAGAATATGAGAATGTACAAAGGCATCCAGCTGCAAATGTAACTTTTACAAAGAAGATTTTCTTTCTTTTCTTTCTTCAAGCACAGAAATGGGCTAAGGGGTGCTGTCAAACATAGGGAGAAAGCCAACATACTTACACAGGCAAGTGTGTACCCAGTTTGCTATCTGCAAACCCATGTTTCAGTGCAGCACAGGCAGAAGGGACGTGACTGTGGCCTCCCCGCAGAGCCTGTTGCCAGGATGGGAGTTGATGGCTGTGATGGCAGTAGCAGCCTCAGCATAGATGCACCTCACGGGAGTGGAAAAGGAACTGAAGCTCTCTGGCTGCCACTCTGCCATGCGGCAGCCCATATGGCCATGCAGCATGCAGGACTATCCATGCTAGGGCAGCAGCTGCATCTCTTGCATCTCTCGTGGGTTTGGGATAGGATCACGGAGCAGACTCTCACTGAGCACGACTGCTTCTCAGAGCATGAAGCTTTGCTCCACCACTTCCCTTGGGTCCTGCCACAGCCACTGCTGAGCTAGACACAACCCTACTGCCAGCTCCACACAGTGCTTCCACATTGGAAGACCTGTCTTGGTTAATAAATACAATGATTTTTACCACAGTCCTTCTAGCTGTGAGTCAGTCCAGAATATGATGGCAGGTATATTGTTAAAATGATGCCTTCCCCTGGCATCTTTCTGCCTGCCCAGGAATTGGCACTCTGACCAGTGCTAACAGGGCTGCCCTGTGTGGCATTGTAACACTTCCATCACACTGACAAGATTAACACCATATATACAACTTCTGTATATAGATGAGACTGAAATCAAATGTAGGAGCTTGGCACTTCTATACATGTACAATCTTGGAAAGTAACAAGAAGTTCTTAAATAATTTAAAAAGAAAAAAACCCTCTGTCTTGTAGTAAATACATTTTAGGATTTTAGGATAAATTTTAGGAAGCCAAAAATGACATTCATTCTCATTTTTTATCTCTGCTTTGTCAGAATAGCTTTCTTTTGGCACCTACAAAAGCAGCCCTGAACCCTTCTTGAGCTTTCTCTTCTTTGAGTAACAGATTCTTCTTTTTATCTGGGAGCTAACTGAAGGATCTGAGATACAAACTTTCCTTTAAAGCAGTCATTTTTACTTCTAGGCCATTAATCATTTTTTCAAGACCCCAGTTGGTGGCCAAGACCACATGAAAACAAGCGGAATTCACCGGAGACCACTTCCTCCTGTGTCTCTATCACATTAAGCCTTTTTTAAGCCACTACTTTTTACCTTGTGCTGTACAGCACAGAATTACATAGCTCCAAAGAATTTATGCAGAAAAGGCTCAGGAAAAGGAGTTAAATTTAGGCTTCCCACATGTGGTATGGCTAAGTAAGTCTCAGCTTCATTGCTCTGTATTTAGGTTCGAAGTTTGACAAAAGAGACATACGCATTTGAGGGACATGCGATGAAAAACGCTAGACTGACTGCAGCCTTAACAGTTCTCTCTTCTCCTTTGCAAGGAGTTACGAAATACAGATGAGTTTTAGATAGGATGTAAGCATATATATATTTTCTGGAGTTATATCTGCATATTGGGTAAAAACATTTGGGATAGCTAGCTCTTTTCAAAAAAGGGGTCAGAAGCGATTTTAACTCCATTCCAGAGAAGAAGGCTGAGATACAAAGAAATCCTTTCCAAATGAACAAAAGGATGACGAAAAGAGAAAGATTTTACTACTTTGAACTTTATTACCCTACCATTAGGAAAATAATTCATTTTTTCCTGCAGTGAAATTGCACATGTGTAAGTGCATAGCTATTAAAAGAAAGTACAACTATTAACTTGTATTATAATCCTAGGTGACCTCAAGCTGTGTTTTATTAGCTCATTACCAAAAAATGACTTCAGGTGTTTGAAGGAAGAGTGCACTTGATTCCATATATTGATGTGTCAATATGTAGCATGCGACCTTATGTGCTGAGTATTTTATGACTAAATATAAACATAAAATTAAAATAAATACAAAATATATTGGGTGTTCTAACTTGTGGGAAACAATCATTCCTACAATGTATTAACAATTGCAGTGTATTTAGAGCTGTATGGGACCTCACTGGGCATATTCTACTGCTTTAATGAAGGCTGTGTAGTCCAAATAGGTTATTTGAAAACAGAACTGCAAAGATTAAACAGCTCTGCAGAAGGTGATCTCTGGTGTTACGAGCAGGTAGTCTAAGACGCAGTTCTTAATTCTGGGAGCAATACTATTTTAAGCTGCTTTTCCAAAGATCCTGTAAACAAAGACGTTCTTTAACTTTTTACTCCTAATACTTTTTCACACCTGCGAGCACATAATGGATTCCCATATCCTCCACAGGCTAAGGATGAATGAGCAAAATATTACTTTTAAATGACACACAGAACCTAAGAGAGGGCAGATAAGGTATTTGATAGCAAAAAGTGTGCGTATTTTGATTTTTCTTCACAGAAACGTAAACACTTGAAAGTACTTTGCCAAAATGCCTGCACTGCTTAGCAGAGAGAGAAGGAAAGAAATTCTGGACTGGGGGATACCTGATCACTTCTTCGCTTTGCGAATGAGTTGTCGCAACCTTCTAAATCCAGGAAGTAGACTTTCTGCAACAGAGAGTGCTGAGCTAACTATAATCAGGGAACGAGTTGTCTGGAGTGGTGCATAGTTTCCTACAATCAAGACCTCCTTCCCCAGACTCCTGTATTACATCCCACAATTTAAAATCCACTGCATTTTATTGCAGTCTATTGTGTTTAATGAAAAACTTCTCATGAGCCAGGAAGTAGCTGTTTATAGCTGTGTGTTGTGGAAATCACAGTGAGGGATTAGAAACTGGAGGAAAATTGGTTACAGCTGCATGAAAGAGCAAATACAAAGACAGAGCCAAAAGGGCAAAAAAAAAAAAAAAAAAAGCACACACTGACTTCTCTTTTCCTCTCATCCTCCTGGACTATTCCTTTCCATGCACCTGCTTGCATCTACTGCTACAAAATCTGGAGAACTGACTTTGGATTTGTTGCTTGGTGCTCTTTATTCAGCTGAACCAACTGAGCTGTGAGTCAGAGTTTACGATTTTATAGAATAAACCTGTTTTGGATTGCAGCCATTGGACATGAGAAACTAGACACAACGGGGAATGTTCTCCCTGGAATGAAACCAAGCAGTCTGGAAAAAGCAAGAGCTGTCCTTATTTGAATGCAATCTTCATACCAAACCTCAAGTCTTTTTACAGATTCAGTGGTCTGCTTAATAATTCCCATTCTTACTTGATGCAAAGACCATTTCCTGCCCTGGAAGATTTGCTGGTATTCACCAAAAACATGCAGGAGTCTCACAAGCCTCAGTAAACTTCCATCACAATAATTCTCAAGTCATCATTGTCTTCTGTACAGAGACAATGATATTTCTATGTCTGTGTTTTGGAAAGGGTGGAAAGAAAACCAAAAGTATAATGCCTCATGCAGAGAGCAGTATTAGTCTCCAAGAGGAAAGCAGTCACCTAAATCATTCTTCGGACTTGCACTAATTTCAAAGAAACCTGCTCACTCGTCTTTCAGACAGAAGCCAAAACCTGTGCCAAAGCATCAGGCAGCCCTTGCAGGTTTGCAAAGCAAATGTGAGAGGGAAAAAAGGGCCAAAGGTACTTTGGGAAGGAGCATGGTAAAAGACTGGAAAAATAAATAAGACAAAATTCAAACAATCTATCATTTTATCAAAATTTTTGGTAAGAATAAAAGATTAGGCCAGACTGATCCATTATAATTGTGGCATTTATGAAGCTTGGAAATGGCAAATATGTCATAAGTCCACATTCATTTCAAGGAATTAAGTGTTTTATGGATCTAAGAAAACTTTCTCATTCTTTCCATTTATGAACCATCTGTAGCAAATCTGTATTTACGGGGAGAGAGAGGAGGAGGAGTAACATGCTATAGTGTCACCAACATTCCTTCTTCAGCACAGAGGGAATTATAGGAAAAGAAATTAATTTCAACATCTGCCAAATGTGCTATCAGCTGAATGTGTTTTTAAAGCTGCTATGCCATACATTTCGGATCTATATACAACACATGTCTGAAAGCTGTTTCTGCATCTCAAAAAATTCAGCTAAGAACAGAGGCCAGCAGGATATATGTGGCTCTATAGTTATAGATCTATTGTTTGCTTAATGGGTGGTTAAATTGTTCCAATTGTGATGATTCTGCTTGGTTGAAAAGATCAAGAATGACCATCAGAAAGTTTTGAGTTAATAGTCTAAACAAGTGAAATTAAGAGATACCATCATGAGACATTTTTCCTTCCCAGATCGTGAGCAATCAATAATATGGCTTGACGGCAGAGCTCAAAGGGTGGTGATCAGTGGTGCCGAGTCTAGTTGGAGGCCTGTAGCTAGTGGTGTCCCCCAGGGGTCAGTCCTTGGTCCAGTCTTGTTCAGTCTATTCATCAATGACCTGGATGAAGGCATGGTTGACGACAAGTTGACCATGAGGCAGCAGTGTGCCCTCGTGGCCAAGAAGGCCAATGGGATCCTGGGGTGCGTTACGCAGGGCTACAAGGATGATCAGGGGCCTGGAACATCTGCCCTGTGAGGAGAGGCTGAGGGAGCTGGGCCTGTTCAGCCTGGAGAAGAGAAGGCTGAGAGGGGATCTGATCAGTGTCTATAAGTACCTCAAGGGAGGGAGTGAGGAGGATGATGCTGGCCTCTTTTCACTGGTGGCCACTGACAGAACTAGAGGTAATGGCCACAAACTGAAGCATCAAAAGTTCCGCAAGAACTTAAGGAAAAACTTTTTAACAGTGAGGGTGACAGAGCATTGGAACAGGTTGCCAAGAGAGGCTGTGGAGTCTCCTTCTCTGGAGATCTTCAAAACCCGCTTGGATGCAGTCCTGTGCCACGTGCTCTAGGTGATCCTGCATGTACAGGGGGGTTCGACTAGATGACCTCTAGAGGTCCCTTCCAACCTTAAGCATTCTATGAGCATTCTATGCCAGCAGAAGAAAAGCAGAATACTCAAGCCACTGACTGTTTTTATGTCACCATAAAGCATACAAACCTACATATAAAACAAACTAGAGGTTTATTTTAAAGAAAAGTGATGTGACAGGGCATCTTGTACTGGCACTTTAATTGGAAATTAAATTTCATTCATATCAGTTGTTCTGCTTACATTAGAAGAAAGATGGCTTATGCAGCAGTGAAAAACAAATGTTCTAGCTGATAATTTTTAAACTTAACTTCAGAATCCTACTGACACTAAGAGAACTGACTTTGTTGCTGAGACTAATGTGAAATAGTCATGTCCCCAGCCTTTGGGGATTTTTGGCATAACATTGCACCTAAAGAGTAAGGAATTCCCAGCAACAGAGATACTTTCTGTGTCAGCTTCTGTCCTAAATTTTGGATAGTTCAATTGTCCAAACTAAGGATTTAAAATATGTCTGTTCACCAGCTAATAAAAAACCACCTCCTTTTGAGTGTTTAAATGTAAACTCAATCCAGCTGATAAACTGATCCTTTAGATTCAAGTACATATGTAGCCTTTTTTTATTATTTTTTCAGTAGAACCAGTCCGATATTCTAACCTTTTACATAATTCCTAGAGTGACTAGGAAAATATTACCAAGTGAAGAACTGTCAAATATACAGATATGAATCATCATGCTGTGACCTTCACATAGCAGAAAATATTTCAGATTTCAACACCCAGTTTGGCACTTAAGTTTTAGCATGCTAATGTAAAACATTGGTATTCCCTAGTCAAATGACATCCAAACTGGTAGACATGAGGCAAGAGGGCAGCATGGTGTGTACTTATGGCAGGTACATGATCCTGGGCTCATATCCTGATATCTTCTGTCGTAAACCAAGCTAGGAAGACACCCAGTAATTTCCACTGTTATCATATAAACAATATAAATCATATAAACCTAAATCAAAATTAATACCAATATAATAGCAAAATAACAGGAAGCTGAACATGAGCTGTACCTTTGTGACAGGCAGTTCCTTGGACTTAGACTCAAAGAGATGCTCCAGTCTGGAAGTGTCCACCTTAATGGGTTCCAGTTTCGACCACAGGAATTCTCTGCAGCGTTTGTTGTTTTTACACTGCCACTCAAATGGCCGTACCTCATTCCAAAACAGACGGATGGTTTTCTTCTTCTTTAGGAATGCTGGCTGACCCCTAGAAACCTGGGGTGACCCTAAACCCTGAGGAGTGTTGAAGAGTGGAGGAGGAGCCAATAAATTAGCAGAGGGTGGAGATGGAGGTGGACATCCAAACAGTGGGGGAGGTGGCGGAGGTGGGAAACCCGGAAAAGAAGGTGGAGGAGGAGGAGGGGGAACAAGAGAGTCCCCAGGACCCATATCCATGTCCAACACGTCTATGTCGTCCTCCTCCCCCAAGTCTGTAAAATCCATGTCTTTGATTTTCAGTTCTCTAGGATTAGCCATCAGCTGATCCCAGATGTAGTCAGATTCCTTCTTTGGCTGTGCTGGTGTTTTCTCAGAGACCTGTTCACCAATTTCATCTTCAGACAAGGCTGTCCCATTGGCCAGCTCACCACTATTGAATTTTTCCGCAAAGGCTTTCACACTGCCTTGGTTGTCCAGGTTTCTAATCTCCATCTTTTTGACACTTTCATCTTTGGCCTGCTTAGTGGCCTGAAGGATAGAGATCCTACTGGCTAGACTAGTGAGTGACTCTTCACTTTCCTCCATCTCCTTCTTTTCCTCCTTCGCCTCCAGCTCCTTTTCCTCTTCATCCTTGGGCTTTTTGTTATGCGCATACAGCATGTCCAGCATAAACCACTTGTTGTTGAGAATGTTGCTGCACTGCTCATTCACACCAGCATCTTGAACGGGCTGTGACCACGGACCTGTAATCATACACACACAGATGGGAACAGTCAAGAGCCGAGAGCCAGAACATCAAGAATATTTCCCACCTCATGGGAAAAATTTCTGGAAAAACATGCACTAATAGTGTGATGCTGGGCAAGACGCAGTTCTGAGTTCTAAAATAAGTGGCTATGATGATACCCAGCTCAATCTTGATGGGTTGGGAGTAATTATTAATGTATATAGGGGGCAATTACAAACTGCCACAATTTCCAGGCTGAGGTTTCTTCTGAACCCTGTCAGATTTCATTTTGTACTTGCAGTCTCAGCTTGTTTTATAGGGTGCTTAAGTGCTCGGAACCTTTAATGATATAAAATATGGATTACGTATCATAAGAATGGCCACAAAATGGGCTACAGTGGTACTCTGAATACGGTAGAAACTGGAACTGTCCCAGGAAAGCTTCCTTAGGAAAAAGATTTTCCCTGCCTGATTTCAAGATCCGTATGGAACTGCTTCCTCGTTTTTTCACCCATCCTGCTGGCTGCTCTTTAAACCTTCAGATAAGTACTGGGACCATCTTCACAACACTGACTGCTTGAATCACAGAGACTGTATAACCACGGCAAAACTTCCAGGACAACTCTCAGTAATTACAAGCATAAATTACAAGCTTTTTAAAGTTACTTGTAGGAATACAAGCACCTAACTAAAAGAAACTTAGTGATTTTTGAAAATGTTGCTCATCAACCACTGTAATCTTCCCTGCAATATATGATGAAACTGAAAAGTAATGGCCTTCTGCCCACATCATTTTCATTTAACACGTAATGAAGGTGTAATGAAGCTTCATTTTTCTGACTACTATTCTTTCCAATGAACTATAAAGAATACTGCTTTGTGAGATAGCACCATAAATAACAAGTTACTGTATCTTAAATGTAAAAATAAATGATACAACATTTTAGACCACATTCCCCTGAAAATAATATTGAAATAATGCAAAAAGCATGCCCTCCCGCTTCCAAATGTTGCTTCTTTTTCCAGTGGGCATCAAATAAAGCAATAAGACATAAAGTCTTTTTCCACAGGATTGTTTTCTCATTAGGATTTGCATGTAGTTGTCTTTGATGTAGTTTCAGTAGACAACACCATCTCCTTCCCCACACTATGGCTTTCCCTAGCTGAATGCCCTCGGAAGATTGCCCCCTCCTTGCAGCTGTTCCTTTAGGGATGTCCAAGATTGCTGTCAGGATCTATATATCCCATATAACTTGCCTTCTGTTTTCACCAGCTAGAATCCTCCAGAATTTAATCCCGTTCCAAAATTTCTCACCAAAATTCCCCTAGACACCATCTCTGATTTGGGCTCGCAAGTCTGCCTCAATCTTTCCATCTGTTTTCTAACCAACCCAAGATGACTGCCGTGAAGCCTGTTACTGCCTAAGTACCCTCTTTCCGCACTCTCCACAGATAAATCTGTGAAATGCCATCAAAGAAGAAGGCAGGAAGGAGAACTCAACAGAATGGCTAACAAAAGAGGGACACGAAACAAAGTTTTTACTCCTCTGTCCTTAATGGAGTTGGACAGAAACACTGTGCTCAAAAATGACAAACTGCCTGCTGGGAATCTGAGAGGTACTAGAAAAAGCACTCTCATTTGATTTCTGCATCTTCTCATCCACTAGATTGCAATCTATTACCTACATGAGACTACATTACACAGCATAACCTCCAGTCTACCAGTAATATATGTCAATTTTAAGAAGCTGAATTTTACATGGGCAGAATGTATTTCTTGACTATTAACAAAAAGTATGTAAGCAATTATTCGAATGAAAGAATAGGGTGGATGGGACAAGATAATTGGAAAATTTTTGTACCCTCACTTTGGGTACCCTTGACTACACCACTGTGTAATGATATCCTTCACCTGTGATATCCACAATGCCTTTCCTGCCTACACATCTACCTACTTTTACTCAGCACAATGGTATTCTAAGTGCTCTATTCTAGCTCAGCTTTGGCATTGATTGAAAAGCAAATAGTTCTTAACCATCAACCAAATTAACATAATGATTCCTAGAAAATTGCAATAGGCTTTAAATATGAATGCACACAGCAATCTAATAATTTATTGCTAATAGATGCTGTGATTCAGAGTCACCCCTCTTTCTGAGAAGAGCAAGATTGTATGTCACATTGAGCAAAGTCTTTATTTTCTTATCTAGAAAGAAGCTATCTTTGTTTTTTTATCTCTATTCAGCAAACTTAAAGCAATGCACTCCACTGTTCAGCCTTAGGCAGACTGGAAATCAATTGCTCTAATCTAACCTGTAAAGAAAGTGGAAAAGAACAATTAATCAACCAAGGTCTAAAATCTGCATTTCAGTCCCTTTAGGCTGTGTGAAAACTTCTGGTTGTCATTCTGTCTCCTTGGCAGCAAACTAGCCTATAAGGTATTTATCAGGATGGGCTACACTTCACAGGTTCTAATTCTAGTTCAGAACCACTGATCATTAACAGGACTGTTCTTTTCCAGACTGTGTATAAGTTCCTTGTGCCTTCTCCACAAAAGCTGAAGATGTTCACAGCCCAGATCCACATTCAGCAGCTCCTTTGTATCCCTCTGTTTTCTGAAGCCTGATCAAGATAGGAAAAATCTAGGCAAAGAAAAGACATCCCATCCTTCTTTTCTCCTCCTGTTGCATTAATAGTAAGTTAGGAGTAAAGGCATGGAAAAAGATTTTTGGAATCTCATGACAAGTTGTATCAGGGCCCTTCATCTTGTTGTTTTGACATGTAGGAAACCTAAAAAAAATTATTGGAGAGTGAGAGATGCGGTTTGTGGTAACACGATTAAGTGGTTAACATGCTAATCTTGAGTGAAGAAAACAGTCTCAAATTTAAGAAAATCTTAACCATCCTTCTGAACACAAAGCCCTACCAAAGCCTGTGGTTTTTCAAGCAGTGATGACACAAGGATTTGTCCATGGCAAAGGAATTATTAGTGACAGGTGTAAAGGGTCTATTTGCAAGTAAACACAGCAACACAGCTGATAATTTAACTTTTTTTTTTTTTTCAAAGGAAAGTCTTCGTTATTGAAAAAATTTCACTTTACCAGTTTCATTGTCACTGGTTAACTTGTCCTCTCTCTCTTCCCTCTCTAAAGTGCTGCTTGCTGAGGATATGCTGGATGCAGAGCAGTTGTCTTTTTCATTCACTTCCTCATTCTGCCTCTCTTTTTCACTGAGTATTGCACTTTCTTCTGGCTCTCTCTCTGGTCTTTGCTCCACCTCACTCTCTGGTCCCACCTCTGTAGCCTCTACTTGCTTGAGTGTCTCCGCTCCCTGCTTGGCCTCAGCCTCCTGTTCTGGTTCTGTCTCTGTCTCTGCTTCGGCCTCGGGTTCACTGGCACTCACTGGCGGAGAGAACAATGGGAGAAAGAGATTCACTTAACGGCGTCTTGCGAGGCTCACCCGCCTAAACAAGAACCATGTGGAAAATTGTATGAGCATCTTGCAAAAAGTAAAGAGAAAGTGAGTTCATGGCATGCATAACTTTGCAAGCAAGAGGCTGGTGAGTGCTGGGTGACAACAGCATCACACGCAAGAGTGGCCTGGCAAAGCCATGACTCATGGTCTGGAGGCAGCAGCTGTTTTTATATATGCTTCCACAGCTGGAGTATTGGACTTGCACACCAATTTGAACCACCAGGAAATGGGCATTCAACCCAAGAATGACATTTAAAACTCAGTGCCCAAGCAGAGCCAGGAAGGGAAAGATCTTTTTAAAAGCAAAGAGGAGAGAGATTTTGGCTCTTAGTTGATTATTCTCTGGTTTCTGAAAGATTTTTTAGCGAGCTTCTTTTTTCACCTGCTGAGGAACAAATTTTTTCAACAAAAAATACAAATATTAGTTTTATTAACACAGTTAAATGGCACAGTCTGGAAATGGCACTGACAAAATACATATGTTTTTGTGCATATTTACTTCAGAACAGCCACAACAAAACTGGACAAAGTTCCCAACTGATTGGCATATGGCATAAATTTAGTTTTCAAGTGGTTGGCATATGGCATACATTTAGGATTTCTTTTTGTCAGTTGGCACACAACAAACACTGTTGATGGTAAGCTTGGTTTCTTCTTCCCTGATCCATCACTGATAGTGAAATTCAGTCATTCACCTTTACAGTTTTTAGCCAAACCAGCTTATTTTCACATGCAAATATTCTCTGCATGCTGCAAGGAAACTGGAGAGCATCCACACATATTCACATCAAGCAGTTCACATCAATGCTCTGAAAATTGAAATGGCCATGCAAGAATGATGAAAATGGACGTGCATATTACTTCTGCATATTCCTGAAATCCCTTTTGCATTAAATCTTGTGCAAGAAGGCTGAACTAGAATGACTAAGTCATATTAGTTTCTTCCCTTTGCTTACCGCTTTCCATTACAACATTGCAAAATATGCTTTCAGACTTGTCACAGTCATTGGATCCCATGATATATGATGCGTCTTTCTTCAAGAACTAAATGAATCTTTGAAGGAAAAGGCAACCTAAGCATTTCAGTCCTCTGGGAGCAGGAAAATAGATTTATTCCAAGAAAGTATAAACCTAAACTATGAAGGTCACAGTATTTTCCTAAAACTTTTTCATGTTGAGTGCCTATTCCTGAGACACACACAAAGTAATGATTTCTAACACTGCCTGGGCTAATCTTTACAATAACACACTTAAGGTTTAAAGAAGCTCTCAGTAATGCACCCTCAACATGATACTATTTCCTGATTCATTTTATGTCATTTAAGTGCTTATAATTAAGGATTTTTTTGCCATTGATTTAATCAGGACTATGTTCTGCACTTCATGGTGCATATATAAATATATGCATATATAAAAATATATACATATATATACATATTTATATATGCACATATAAATATATACTAATATGCTTGTATATACTTTTATCTCTATAAAATGTACTTGTAATATATATAATATATAGTTAATGCCCATGCAAGCCTCTTTAAGAGGTTTTAAAACACTTCCAGTTTAGGAGCTTACCTTTCTACCTCTTCTACATAGAAAGTATTTAAAAGTCTATGATTAGATAAGACAGCAGTTCTGTGGCTCTTATTTCCCTAAATAGATCTCTCTCTTGACTTTACCCTATTTAGGTAACGCTTATGAGAGAAACAAAATTATGGAAAGCTGACAATAAGGTGGAAGACACTCTGAATCACTGTGCTGTGTTTTTTTGACCACAATTGTCATTGAGCAGGGATAGTATGACAGCACGATAAAGTCAAGCCAAGAATGGAATATAACTGCCACAAGTTTAGGTATCCTTCAGGAGATACTGAAACTAATATGGAAGTAACACAGCATCTGAGAGACTCTGAGCACAGCACTGCAGTGGTCTGCAATTACTGTATGCTTATAAACAAATGTTATTGGTTTATCTTGAAAAATCATTATTTATTGCGTTTTTTTTTCTCCTAAAAGCAAATGTTGCTATCCAATAATGAAAAATAGCAACAGCTCACATAGAGAAGGGAGCTGACTAAAACTTGGCCAGGATCGCTAATGCTTATGACACTGTGGTCGTCATGAAGCTATACTAAAGATTCAAAAATGAATTTGGGGGAGACATAAAAAATGCTTGAGAATATATGGATGTATATCTGGAAAGCACCATCGAAAGAATTTTGAATCTGTGCACCTGAAATAGTCCACCAGAAAGATGAGAAGAATCAAAGCATAACAAAGAGCCATATATATTTATATCGAAGCATAAACACCTCTAAAATCAACCATGGATATGCTGACATTCACTTTGAGTCTCTCTCAGTTTTGTAATCATGCCAAATAATCCAACTATATCCGAAATAACTGCAGTGAGCCAACCCCAGTAGCTCTTCCCTCAAAAAGTAGTTCAAAAATCACCTTTGTCAACAAAGATTATTGAGAGAAGAAACCCAGCAATATGTGTAATTGCCACATGCGGTAATATCCCAGCATGCTGTAATAAACTGGGTTGATATTGAAAAAGTTTCTAAAGATGTTTAAAAATAAAATTCACATTGGATGGTTGTTGATGACCTATTTTGAAAAGTTATCAGTATTTCAGTCCAGTATTTACAGGATTGACTTTCAAACTAGACAAAACCTGTCAAGCGGCAAACTTGCAGGTAAGAACAGAATTAGTTAAAGAACCCAATTTCTGTTCCCCTTGTTCAGTCTTCCTGATGGATGAAGAGTGGGAAAACTTAGGGTAGCAAGTTTGGCCATATCAAAAACCAATGGCAAAAAATGCTCCTTGATATGTTCTGAGAATTAATGCTGATGATATTATGAGCAACATATACTTCTAATTGACCACAACAACAACAAACCCTTCTCTTTGAGAGAAGTGTGAAAAATACTGTACTAAAGCAAAAAGAAGCTACCTCTATTACTGAATCTCTCAAGCTCAGCTCAGGTTTTAATGAGAACTATATGAATGTGAAAACTATGTTATGTTTTTTGTTAATTAAAACAAGTGAGAGATAATTTAACTTTGGTTAAAAGAAGTTTTATTTGCAATTGGATTCATCAGGAGGAGGAAAACTAAATGTGGCTTTAAAGACTAATTTTTGAATCACATGCCTATTTCTTTTTCTGCCAGAGCTTAATCTCTAAAGATGTATTATATATTATCAGAAAAAAAAAAGTGAAGAGTTCTTGGGAGAATAAAATCTCCCAAAGAAGGTCTGTAACATCACCAAAGAGGCGGTAACCTCTGAATGAATGTGTACAGATCTTTTTTGTTGTTGTTGTTATTGTTTAGAAGGTATAAAAGGGCAACTAGTCTTATCTGTTTCCATTTTTTTCCCAGAAACCAGACTACTTAACCTTAAACCTGCTATTGAGGTACAAGACCCTACATTCATGGTGGTACTTCTGCAGAGTATTTTCCTCCTAATTTTCCTCCTAATGAGGAATATTCACCATGCACCACCTCTGTATACCTATGTCTATTGGTTCCTCAACATGATGTTCCCTCTTTTTAATACTCTTTTAATATGTAGTGTAATCTGCAGTCTTCCCCTAACATGCTTCCTGGGATCCTGTCACACTGCAAAAGCAGCTGATGAGAAGCTGCAGACCAGACTCTATTTCTACCCATGGCACAGACAGGAAGACAGAAGGCCTAACTGCACTTTGCCTAACACTGTGATGCTTACATATGCCTGGAATTTGAAAGAGAAGACATCAATGTACCTATGTATAGACAAGTAGAAATAGGCTCAGTAATCAGTGGCTCAGCGTCCACGTGGTGGTTCGTAACAAGCAGAGTATCCAGTAGTTGCCACTGAGGCTGATACTGTTGAATCTCTTCATTAACAATGTGGATGATGGGACAGAATACACCACCAGCAAACTTGCAATCCATTGTAAATTGGGTATGGCAGCAGTATGCTAAATAGTAGAGTTTTAATCCAGAAATGGGAAATTTGAGGTCTGGGCCAAAGGAAACCTCACCAACTTCAGCAAGGTAAAGTGCAAGGTTCTGCACCTGGGGTGGACCTGGAGGACATAGTGGACACCGGCCTAAATGACAGCCCACTGTGTACTTGCATTGCAGAAAAGACAAATCGCATACGGGGTTCCATTAGAAGTACGACCAGCAATTTAAAGTAAGTTATTTCAATGATAATGAGACCTCATCTGAAAACAGCGTCCTTTTTTGGACCCTGCCTTCTTCATGAATGAGACTGAGTATGAAATGAAAATGAATTGTCTCTTTCTTCCTCAGGTCAGGTCTTAGGTTGTCTGCTCTAGCTCTTCCTCTACCTTTCTGCACAATCATCTCCTTTGGCTGTAAAACTGTGGCTTCAGCGGTCTCATGGTTTTCCCAATTCTCTACCACTCCTCTATCTACTGAGACATTTTCAGACAGTCATACTTCAGGCAGTCTTTGAGTCTTGCTCAGCTACTGATAAATGGAGAAGGTTTCCTACTGTCTGTTATGCACACTTAGGTTAACCCGATTACTTCCTCAAGTACTACATAAAGCTGCTTCTCACAGAGAAGAGTTCATCTCCAATTACTTTGTGGTTTGACTTCAGAGATATCTTGACTTATTTTTGCTCTTCTTTATGGACATGTGTAGTTCATAAAATACTCTCCAATTAAATTACCAAAGAGGAAGGAGGTGCTCTAAAAAAAATACTAGATTCCATTTTGCAGTTATGGCAGTTATTCATTTCCTTTAAATGCCATACCATGAGTTTTACAAGAGTAAATCTTACAAGACTTGATTACTTTAGTGGAACCAATTGTTTTATATGAGAAAACACTTCAGCACAGTAAGTCCAGATTTTTGTCTTTTATAGAGATACTGAGAAACTTCACAGCATGGGACAAAGTTCCCTAGATAGAACCCATTGCTTCTTAAGTCCACTATATCCTGGGAACCCAAAGAATACTGGGGACAAAACACATCTGACTCCTAAAACTAGTTACTGTTTAGCTAGTAAAGGAATTGTTTTGCACGAATACACTTCCCACTTGGCTGCAGGTTCAGAGTAATGCAGAGGTGTATCCCATATCAGTTAATATACAGTTCTTCTGAAAGATCTGAAGGGCCTTAATGAGCACCAAACTAAGCAAGTATTTTTCTTCTACAACTTTGTCGTTGCTTGGAAGATGATGACTCCTACATATAAAGAAACTCTGGGGGAGTTGTGCAATCTAGGCCTTGACCACAGCTCTATTTCTGCCTTCCTACAAATGGCTTAAGCAACTTAGTGCCTCGGTTTCTCCATTTACTAAGTGAGAATAAGAACATTTCCTGAGAAAATATTTTTTTCAAAAGAGATGTTAAAGGAGATAAGAATTCCTTATGTTCCATAAGGAACTCAGACACTAAGCTAGAGGTCATGGCACAAAACCTGCAAGCAAATGTGCCAGCTTTTGCATGAAATCCAATAAACTGGCCACCTCCAAAGAAGGGGGCAGTCTACGCCATCCACATGCTGATTATTTCTGATTTAATTTTACTCCTAAGTAGCAGTTCTTACTCATGCAGAACTCCCACTGAAGCAAGATGCTCTTGTGCAGTCTTAGCCCTCTACCTGCATTTGTTCATGGCTGGACTTGTGCCTTAATCTTCCCCATCCACATGTTCTCTCCTGCAGTTCATCTGCTGAGCTTCCAGGTGCTATCCTCTGTTTTCGTCAGTAGAAAAGTCCTGCCTACCTATGTGTTGATTGCTTCATAATATTCAGAACTGCCTGAAGCTGCCCTGTACACCTGCTCTAAACTTATTCTCCAAACAGATTATGCTACTGCATTTCATGCTGCATTTTTTGAATGCTTCCAAGAGAAATATGTTAAAATAATCATCATAAAAGAGATACTTGCTCCCTACCTAGGTCTGAAATCTTAATGGTGGAAAAATCTAGCTTTTTGCTTTAAAAGCAATATTGCACTTGAAAAACTGGACATCTTAGTATTTTTGAAAATCAATGTTACAGGAAAATACCCATGCTTTTTAACTTCAAATGATTCCAGTGAGACTCGCAGGGTGTCAGACAAGAAAACCAGAAATTTAACTGAGAAAACATATAAACCTAAATTAAATGAACTTCACCTGTTTAATACTTTGAGGATAAGTATATACATCATTCAGTAGCAGGAACTTTTTCCTTAAATTGCCTTCCTTTATAGCATGCTACCAACCATAACACTCAATAAAACCAAGCAGAGAAAATCACAAAAGCATTAATCATCAATAGCAAGTCGCAGGAAATCAAATTAAATAAAAAAAGAATGATGGCAATAATTTACCCTCAACATGCACTGAAGCTCCCCATGTTAATGCAACATCATGTGGCACAAATATAAATCTGTATGGTGTTTTTTTTTTTTTGAAGGACTGATGCAAGTGGCAGAATGACATGCACACACACAAAGTATTGCTCTGTACACCACTAAATTATACGACAGCAAACCAACTGTGCAAACACTAATTATACTTTCCTTTTAAGTAATTGTCTGTGGTCTCTTTTAAGTCTTTTACTACATGTGCTACAATTTTAAGAGTGTTTGTTGGTGTTAAAAATAACCAAAACACTCTCTCTGCCTTCAGTTCAAGTCCTTTTCTGTTTGCTCCACTCAGATTGTGCTATGCGACGTTATTATAATCTTGGCATTCATCTGTTGCATTTCTTTCAGAGAATCCACATAAGCAAAAATCTGTTGGCAGGAATACTCTTGGTTTAGTACTCAGTAACTCCTAATATATGAGGAACATGAGGCTAAAATAAAACCCTCTCTATCCTGTATTTTCCAATTATTTTATTCTAATAGCAGCAGACAATGACAATATAAACCAGCAATGTATTCTTTACTTGAATGACTAGAAGACAGCCAAATCTATGTGGAAAAAAAGAAAGGAAATTCAGGCACACAGCATGGAGCAATATGACAAGACCCTTTACTTTGGCACCTCGGAGGTTATATTCATGCATTAAAAAGCACTGCTAATCCGAGAGAAACAGTCATAAAACTGTCATGCTGTCCCCCCCACCCTGTTCTCACTAACCTTCTGAGGGCTGAGGAGTCCCGCAGGGAGTGGAAGGGGTCTTCAGCTCTTCCTGGGACTCGATAGATCCTGGGCTGATGCACTTGGGTACCGGCAAGGATGGCGCTGAAGGTCTCAGGTTCAAGGACAGCTCACTCCTGCCTCGGCTTACACTCCGACTTTTCAGCTCCTTCTCATACTCCTCAGCTGCCAATCTCTCCAAGTATTTGTATCTGAAAGTTAAATTCCAAATGGTTTCCGTAAAGACAGAGAAGCCTGTGCTTGATGCTTTTTTATGGATGAAACACCTGCAGAGAATGAGCTGACTTCCTGACACAAGGGGTAAGGCACTAAACTGCCTGTTTGGTCAAAGTGCCAAAAAATGCACACCAAAGCAAATACTGTTTCCCTGAAAGAAGTGAAATTGCTCATGACAAAACAAATCCAAAAAATGGTAAAATTAAACAGTCCTTAGATATAGCTTTCTGTCTGCATAGTCCTTCTCCTTTTGGAAGCATTTGCCTGTCCTCCTTTTCACTCTCCTCCTCTACCTCCTCCTCCTCCCAGCCCTCCCTCCCCCAAAACTAAAATTGGAGGGGAGGAGGGAGGGAAGGCTCCAAAGCCAGAGCCCCTTAATTCTGATGCAAATAGCCAAAGTCTGAGACTTGCTGCAAAGACAGAAAAATGCTTCAGTGCAGCAGGCAAAAACAGATCTCCCTGAAAATAATACCAACAATACCAATAGTAAATGCTTGGATCGCCTATCTAAAGTCTCTGAACCTGCTTCTATTTGCTCTGAGAGCAATTCACTGGAATTCACTTTGTTCTCTCCAGAGTCTACAATGGAAAGATTTCTTTTTTTTCAATGCTAAAAAAATTCTCTGCTGGACTCAGACATCCAATAGCTTGGACCTGACGTCACATGTAGTTTATTCATCAAAGTCACTTTAAAAGAACAAAGACACATCTGTTTTGCATTTTAGGCAGGCAGAACTCACTAACTGTTTATTAAGACCAGCTACCAATCATATTCTTCATAGTGTGCTTTATACATTTCAACCAAAATAACTTTGAAATATGTGCCTCTTCCAGATGTCTGCTAATTTTATCTACCGTTATTTGCTAGAGAATAAATTCATGCATGCAGCTGTATCAGGCTCTAGACTGTTAATCTTACCCACAAGTGAACTGTTAAACAGGTTAATTGAGACTACTGCTTATGCCCCTGAAATGCTGTGGTCATCCTCCTTTACCCTGCTGTTGTAAACGCTCCATAACAGGGAACACCTCTCCTCCCCCATTCCACCTCACTGACAGCCCAAATTAGTGTACAAGCGCCCATTAAAAGTGGAAGGGGAAAGAAGGCAGCCACATATGGTAATAAACATGCTTAGTACATATGGTAACCACACACACATGCATGTCTGAAAACATCTATATCGAGCATAGAAACATGTCTTTGAAGAGCAGTTCTTGTGTTTTCAGAGTCAATTTGTTTTATTGCAAACAGCAGTAATGAAGAACAAACTAATTTCTCTCATTCCTCCAGAGGTATGCACGTACTTTGAACAAGTTCTGCAAGAAAAGGAACCCCTACAGGCTGTGGATGAAAATATAACAAGCCACATACTTCTATGGTTATAAAATAGGAACTGTTTACAGTTCTAACATGAAGCCAATTCTAAAGAATGATTTTTGCCCTTTCAATAGAGGGAAAGCCCTTTGCCTTCATTATCATAGTGTTTTGTTGCAGTTAATGAAACCAGTCCTCCTTTTAACTGTGGTCAGTTACGTATCGTAGTTTTCCCCCTCCTCAAAAATAGAGCAGATGGGATTTAAGACTCACAAAGAGCTATTCAAATTGATAGTTTTGCTAAAACAGGTACAGTCCAACTGACTGCAATGAGGATTTTTGCAGTTTGCTAGCACACTACAACAAAGATCTGGATGGATCCTTCTATAACAGGGGGAACTACAATGTTCTACTGTCCTCAGCTCTTTTACAGTTGCTTTAGCACTTGAGCTCTGCACTGCACAATTAATAACAAGCAGAGAACTATCAATGGCCTTTTTGAAAGACCACTAAAAGAGGAAAGGTACCCAGAGCAACAACTTTTATTGATGCACATGGACAGCAATATCAAATGGGCAAGCTATTAAACAAAATATGGCAATCTAAACCAGGTAAGCAAAAATGATTCTGCACTCAGTCGTTATTCCTTCACACCTGCCGAACAACACATATTTAGCTTCTTCTCTTTTCTCCTTTTCCTGTTTCCTTTCCTCTCCTCTCCTTCCCTCTCCTCTCTCTCTCAACTCAGTGTCTCTTTTCTCAACTCTGTCTCAATAGTGAATGTCTTAATCATCAAATCCATGAGATCTCATGAAGATCAAAATCTGGAGTGAAAGGGCTGAGATAGCACCTCTCCACTGGATTTAATTCCTCCACTACAGGGCTGATAAAATGCCTCGTTTATATTGTGATATTCCTTTAAATCAGGGAAACCTGCTGACATCATCATGCCTATGCTTCACAGATAACAGACATGCAAATTTTGGGGCTATCCATTTGGTATAACTCCAAATTCCTTTTATAATGGAATAAAAATACTATTACATGTTCTCCAGGTCTCTGAGCAATGCCACAGAGTTACTAAAATATTCCTGTACCAGCAAAGTAACAGGTATGATCCCATTTGAACTGTAAACAGCACTGGAGATCACTTGGTAATGCATCTTGGCTAGGAGGTTTTTAAAGGACCACTGAAAAATGCTCAAGCAAAAGTCTGAGGCCAATCAGAAAGAACAACTTGAAATGAATGTTACCGAGTTACTTGCAAAACCATGGAAACTGCAGAGACTACTCTCCCTCATTGGGAACCCACCCAAAACCATGAGAAAAGCTGCCGTTCATATTCTGGAGATCAGGGGTGACACGATAGCACGCAGCAAAGATTTGACAGAATTTAGACAAAACAATCCTTTTAGTGGAGATTTTTGTCTGTATTTAATATTCTTTTCTTTTACTTTTCCTAACTGATATAGAGGGAAAGTCTATATTTAAAGTAGCAGAAACTTAGCCTTTTGCTTGCTATAAATAAGGTAGTATTTTAACTAGGATTTTCACACTTTTAATACAGCATTTGCTTATGGTCTTTTTATTCCTTTAAAAACAAGACAACATTCAGCTTTCTCTATGAAATTTCATTTGTGCAAAGGTGTTTTTGGGAAAGCAGAGAATTATATAGGGTCAGTGTAATGGACTACTGATGCCTGACTTCAGTTACAGGAGTTTTCTCCATTATTTACATACAGTCAAAGTAAGGATGTATCTTCCTTATGAGAAGGAATGTTAAGTTTAATATTCCAGTTCAAAGGATAAAGACACATTGCTAATGACTCAGTTGGCTCAGATTGTACAACAATGATGTCCTGCTGGTGAACATATCCAAAAAAATACTACAGTTTACTTAGCATGTTCCATTACTGCTTGAAAGTGCTGGAGAGCTCACTTCCAATTTGTCTCAAAGTTAACTTATGAGAATGTTTGCTGTGAAAAGTTTTACTCAAGCTAGGACAGTGTACGATGTTTATGTACCCAGACATATTTCATTTTAGAAAGGGCTTTATACTATTTGCAATTGTTTTGGCTGGAAGGACAAAGGAAAGCCCATCAACCTCTGATTTCCCTTAGAAATGTTAAAATCATTTTTAATTCAGCGAGAATGGGCATGCTGGTAGATCAGATTTAAGTTTGCAGAAAAGAACTGCCTTCTATACAATGATTTTGAGAAAAAAAAAAAAAAACAGCAAATGTGCCAATTTCAGCAATGGCTGCTCATACACTTGGACGTTAAAATTCCATCCCTTGACAATTTTTATGAATATCTCTGGAAAACAAATTTCAGAGAATCATAAAAGTAGAACTGAAGCAATCTGAATGATTTCTCATCTACTGCTCGTTTAGCAGCACAGACATATTCCAGGTGAAAACAGGAGTTTCCTCCAGAGTTTAAATAACCACTAGTGGAAGCAGAGATGAAGCAATTGTATTGAAAGGCAAAGGTCTCTAGTTGAGTGTTCCTTGAAAAATGTGCTTTCATAAGCACTGGAAGTCCCCAGCCTAGCCCAAGGTTTATAAATTCTCTCTCTCTCTCTATATATATATGTTTAATTCAGTTGACAAGTGCAATCCACTTATACAATGTTTCAATAACAAACACTGCTAACCTTACAAAATTTACTCCTTGGTGTTTAGAGAGACTGGCATACAATATTTGGCCCTAAAAGATCAAACATGTTTTGGGAATAGGTCAGGTTGCATTGGCCTGCAACTACAGCTTTCAAATGTTTGTGAACCTGGCTTCCTCCTATATACTCAATTGCCTTTTCTGACCCCACCAGAAAGCTTGGGACAGACGTACTTGATTCATAGCAATACTAAATCTGGGCAAATTTCTGAAGCAAACAGAATAGGCTTATTTTCAACATAAAGAGATAAGATAGATCAATCATTCTCATACATTCCAGTGCCACTGCTTGTTATTTATTGCTGTGCTTACAGCTGAACTTGATTCCCATTTTAATGAAACAACAGCTCTCTGTTAGAGTTCTTTTTAAATAAAATGTTCTGTGCATGCATAGTTAAAAATTAAGCAGCCAACGGCTACACAATAAATCATACAGAAAGTAGAAACAACCAAAGGGAAGGATGAATGCATTATATACAAACCTCTCTTCTCTTGCCTGTCTTAGTTCTTCTCTTTTGTCTAAATAATCACGGCTAAAAGGAAAGTTGTAATAAGTTGCAAAGGAAACTACAAGAATAAGGTCAGTAACAGAAGTATATATATCCAAAATAATACACAGTAGTGTGCTATGATCTGGAGATCTTCCAAACTCACCTGGATGCCACCCTGTGCCACGTGCTCTAGGTGTCCCTGCGTGAGCAAGGGCGTTGGACTAGATGATCTCCTGAGGTCCCTTCCAACCTCAACCATCTGTGATTCTGTGATATGTGTGTGTGTATATATATATATACACACAGTAGGAGAAGCCAAAAGCAGTACAAAGAGACTAATTGGAGACAACAAAGGCTGTTTTCAAGAAAAATGAAATAAAAGTTTGTTTTCTGAAAAGTATGCATGCACACTTAAGCATGTCAAGGCCATATGTATGTACACACCGAATGTGTAGTTTGAAAGGCTTAAAGAATTAAAGCGTTGAAGTACATACCGAAACCTCCTAACTGGAATTAGAGGAAATGGGATGTTCATGAAGAGAAGAACCATTAGAGATTATTCAAAATTACTAATTTGCTCCATCTCAAATACTCTGAAACAGTGACTACTGGAATCTCGTAGGCTAAACCAAGACACAAGGTACACTGTATCTGTCCTGGTTCTGAGGCACCTTTTCTAAATGCAATTGCAGCACAGTTGGAAACTGAACTAGTTGGACCTTTTGAATTATCTAGTAGATTAGTTCTTTGTTCTTAAAATGTATATTTAGAATATGGAAAGATAACATAGTTATTTATTTTAGTCCTTGAGTTTTAGATATAAACCTTGGTCTATCTCAGCTGCCCTTCTCACTGTTCCTCAAGCAATTTATATATTTAACTTCTGCCAAGTCAACTTTGCTGGATGTGTGGGCACTGTCATTTCAGATAGGAGTGTGAAATCTGCAGATGTTTTTAGTGCACAATTACTTGGGAAGCACACAACCCAGAGAACAGCAAAACCCAGTGAATATTCAGTCTACCTCAAAACCACAAAGATAATTCCATACAGTATGTTTTTAGCATTTTACTGAATCTCATGGACAAAATTCACGAGACCATATCTCTCAGCTTCTTTTGCAGTCTAATCAGAAGAATTTTCCAAACGCTTCCATTTATGGATAAAGCACCACTTTTCTCTTTACACTGTGCATTTGAATGAATTCTTCTACAATTCTTCTACAATACCAACAGATAACAAACATTTGCTGGTAATCGCTCTTTTAGGTTATCATTAACATGTAATACACATATAATAGTTTCAGGCTATCTCCAAATACTTCAGAATTTGTTTATAGCTTCATTACATTTTAAAATATTCTTTACAATTATAGTAGCAATGGGAATAACCTCAGCAGAGAAAAAAACGCTATTATTTTTTCAGCAGAAAAATGGTAATAATGGTAACATTATTCTTTCCCCTGTAACTACTTTCACCCTTCCCTGCAGCTGAAGAGTAACTCTTTTACTTCAAGACATAGCGTTATATACGTGCCATGGAAACAACAGCCTATTTGCTGAGAAATATATTCCCTGTGCATTCCATAGCATTTTAACACCTTTCCCCTCCAAAACAGGTTGCATAACTGGTGGTACTCTCTTTTAAATTTTCTCCAATTTGTCAAGAATGGTGACAGAATCTAGGGCAACATTCTCAAAGAAGACTTGGAAAGAATGAGATAACAGATGAGTCATGATGGTAAATCCAGTACCGCTCACGAGTTTAAAGGTTGTGAATTGGAAGTGCTATTTTTAAGCAAAAATACAACCCCAGAGTCTCCAGCCAACTGATGGTTTGATAATGTAATCCCAAAACTCTTATGAAACTGTCTGTGATGATTTGCTGTGCCTCTGTGCTCCTCCTGCCAGACTGCTTAATCAACTGTGGGATGCTGCCTGCCTGCAAAGATTAGTAGCTTTAGAGACCACCTACTCAAATAAAATTTTAACTTCAACGTGAGCCAGGAACTCAAATCTTGAAAATGAAAACACTGGGCATTCCAAACTAACTGTCTCAAGGATATATGATCACTTTAACCAGTTTCTGATTCTGGACTAATGAGATGAAGATGTGTATTTTTTTTAATGTTTTTCTGACTTTAAGGAAGCTCTTTCAGTGACAGGACAAGCACTGTAGTCAGCTTTGAGTTAAATGTGCAGACCTGCTATTCAAACAGACCCATCTGGTGGTTTTTTGGTTTGGGAGTTTCCTTTTTGAAAGATAGTGTTTCCTATCCATGACAGCGTGCAGCAGCCTTATGATAGCACTCAGAGGGAGAGTTTTTGGAAGAGGCTTGAAGACTGAGCTGATTTCTGTATCTGTTTCAGGAGAACTTGGGTAGCTGCTGATTGCCAAAGATCCTATTATGGTGCTCTTCCACCTTCCCTCCTCCTCTCATTTCTGCTAAACTAGCTATATTCTTGAGCCAGGAGAATATCTCCTTCAAATAACCAACCGCTAGTAAGCTATCCTCTTTCCAAATTCACAGTGACAAAGATCATTTCCACTTCTTACTCAAGAGATGATTACACTGAAAACAAGCCTGCATGCTAACAAACTCAAAAGAAACACTGTGCCATCTTTTTTATCAATATCAACTCTCAGACCACAAAACATTTATCTTGCTATTCTTTAGATTTGTACAGTCTTTCCACTAACTCCTAACAAACATTATTTAATTTTCAATCATGAAAAAAAGTGAAAGTCATTTCTTAATGCACACTCTTTGGATCAACTAAGACAACAGACAAACTACTTGAGCTATAGGTATCCTATGTATCCTAAGGCCACTGCAGTCTTTGCTAATGCCTGTACAGGGATTTCCAGGGATGGATTTAACAGAAAGAGAGGACTTGCCTCTTACTATCCCAAAGAAGCACATGCTGGGGTCCCACAGCATATGAAATGACCTCAGATGAGAAAAGGGAGGTCTCATATTCAGCTTCTGCCTTTATCCCTGGGATTTGATCTCTGAGCACCAATTTTGAGAATTATTTTCTATATCAGTTGCTTTTTTTAAGAGGAAAAGATGCACACGCAAAAATTGAGGGAAAAAGTGTAGGAAACGTCAAACCACCATACATTCCAAGAAGACAAAATGCTTTGCAAAACGCAAAAACAAAAAGATGTCTCACTGCTGTCCCTTTCTCCACTTCCTCATGCCTTCCTTCTGTTCTTTCCTCTCAACACCTTATTGAGATTATATGTTGAGAGGCAGCATATTATATGATTGATCTGATCAGATCTGATCAGATATTCAGTCAGTTAAATTAGCTTGGCAAATGGTTGGCGAATTTACTAATTTATTAAAAGCCAAAATTCAGGGTTATGGATTTAATATGGCAGTCCTTAAGATACTTCTATCAAGAAAATATCTAAATAATTGGGTAAGTAGGTACATGCAAACTATTCATTAATTCAATTATTTTGCGATTATCTAAATGATTTACCACTTATCTCACATTAAGGCAACAGATCAATAGGAAATACATTTCTTACTTGAATTTGTTTCTTTCTTCACGTTCTATCCTTTGTAATCTTTCTTCTCTCTCCTGACGTCGTCTTTCTCTTTCTGCTGCCAAGGACTCTTGGTGCTGTCGAAAAGACGATGTAAGGAGACTGCCCAAAGCTGGCCTGCAGAAACAGAAGATACTTCTCAGGGCCACTTTCATTGATCATACTGACAAAAATTAGTAGCAATCGTTTAGCAAGTTACATACCCCTAACTACTAGAATAAAATGGCAAAAATCACATGATCAAAACTCCAACTAAATATCTTCTTCACAAATTGATTTTTGATGCTACAATGAGCTTAAGAGCTGTGCATAGAGGTACTTTTTTTTTACTGCTAGATTTTTGAAGCAAATAAAGCAAGGAAAGTACCCTTAAAAATTTGTCAGCATATTTCAAATGCAATATTGTTTAAATCAGATTTTTACTTTATAATGCTGCTAAATGAAAAGCTGAATCCTGTAGTAAGATTTTGAAATTTGAAAGAAAAAAAAATCTGGTAAAATTTTCTAGCACTTTGCAAACATGTTAAGTAACATGTTAAAAACAGTTATGTCAAACAAAACACCTCTGTATCCTCTATTCAGGATAAAACTAAAAGGAGCAAAAACTAAAAGGAGATCTGTACTGGAGATGGAAATTTCTGTGATCGGTAGAGTCATAAAAATCTCCTGTGAGAAGCAGAGACCAGACCTTGAGAAAGAAGATGTTTGCCTGCCTAGGCTGAGCGATAAGGAGCAGGGATGCAGCTGCTCAGCCCGGTTCACAGGCAGCCCCCCCGGAAACCTGTTGAAGCCGACTGCTCGGCCGGATTCGTAGCCAACTTAACTGCAGACATCCTCCAAACTAGCTTTGAAGGCCAAAGACCCGGAAATGAGGAAGAAGAGGAGGAAGGCAGGACCCTCGAATTGAGGGCTGGGACCCCCGACTGTCATGCGTGCCTGTGCACCCGGCAGGGAGAGTTGCACAACTAGAGGCAGAGTTTGTCCACCCCCCTGGCCTGCCTCCTGGGTCGTACTGACCCTACGTGCCAGGATGCACCGGGCATAAAAGAGGACAGTGAGGAGAGAGCGAGGGGGCGGGGAGAGGAGAAACTCCTAACTCTGAGGCCTATGCTGTGCCGGCGGGAGCCACTCAGCAACTCTCTCTCTCTGAGCTGCCAGCTCGAGAGGATGTTCAGGTCCAGATTGGCAGGTATCTCCTCATGAGTAGTTATCCATACTTTGCTTCTTTTATGTCCTTTCGTCTGAATAAATGCTTGATGTAGTTACCTCGTTCTGGCTGATTATTGCCAAATCCCGAGCCCATACGGAACAAGATCTCAGAATGCACTTAGGAATTTGAACGCTTGCTTAAGCAGTGGCTTATTTTTCCTTCCTAAACCTCATTATCACAATTCCCTTGCTGCATGTGCTGCAAGGACAAAATGATTCACATAGAGAAACATACCATACACAGGGACAGCACAGTTATTTACCATAGTCAGACATTAAGGTGGTTACCCAAGGCAGGATTTAGTCTACTCAAACTAGTCTCAAAAGCTGTTCATCTGACCTTCCTTTAAAGTCCCTAAGGCTAGAGCTTCTCTGACGTCTAACCTAAACTCCTTTCTGGCTATTTAGGCCCGTTTTTTCTGGGTATAAAACAGCTTTAATCAGCAAATACTCTTCAAAAACAACCACATTTATTTATATTTGCTGCTTGGCTGAGACATATTTTTATTTAATTTATTTTAACGATATAAAATGTTTTGCCGAAGATGACAATTGTGCTTACACATCTTTTTTTCCCAAAAAGGCAGTATTGGTACTACTGCCTCTCATGTGACAACAGACTTACCTCAGCATAAACATGCCTTTTTACCTGTCTGTTAGACAAAAGAAATCTACATTGTCTCAGGCAAGACTTCACAGATGTAAAAGCATACCTATTGATTGAATGAGACTGATAAAAGCAAACAAATACAGCCTGTGTAGAGGGGTTTCTTTGCATTAGTCTAACATGAGTTTTGCAGGGAAAGAAATAGAAGTTCCCTTTTTAGAAAGATAAAACAAAACAAAAACAAAACCTGTCTAAAGTAAGGTTCCCAAAGCACCAATAAAAGCCCTGAGTAAACGAACATTATTGCTAAGCAGCCAGATTTCTCCCCTTATCTTTCTACTTGTCATTGCTGCACAATGTAGGCATTTAGTATAATGGCACCAATTCATCAGTGAACATAGGGGAAGGAGAAGACAAAAAGCTTTCCGGCAAAACTCTCTTCCCTGAACGTCTATGTGTATGCAAGCAGGAATCCCACAAACAAAGCCACTTCAGCCCCACTGGCAGCACGACCAGGTGAATAGCGTTTCAATAATTTCAATAAATTGACTTTCAATATGGCATATCCCACCCGCATAAATATTACATAAGATGGTATAAAACTCGATATGCTGTAAGCCTCTTTTCTGGCAGTCCTCTAGAGCTCCAGTATCAATGTTGGATCACACTCAAAACCATAAAAATCTCCAATATACCTAATCACAATGAAAAGAAGAAAAAAAATCCCAGTTAAGTGTGCGTAGTGAATTTTCCCTTGAACGTATTTTAAATTCATTCTAATCTTCACCCTTTTAGTGCATCCTACAAGAAAAAATATCTGCCAGCAGGAACAACAGCATATTAAACTGCATATTTAAAGGCAAAGCTCCAGCCTGGTGGTATTGTGAAAAAAAAAGGCAATAATGTTTGGTGTATCATTAGGGCTTGCTCTAGAAAGTGGAAAAGTGCACAGTGTCTCCCCCCAAAAAAGTTCTAGAAATTAACTAAAATAGATAGCAAAAGATGAGTTCCTATCAAATCTGTACTCATCTCTGCTCCACATATTGACTTGCATACAGATAATGCATACAGACTTGCACACTTTACATTACATCCCACCCAGTAGCCTTGAAGGCTGACATCTCCGTTCAGAGTCAAAAGGAGTTAGGACTTAGTAAATCAAGGGAAAGGATGGGGTGATACTGAGAGAATCAAAGAGGATGAGGGCCAAGCCCATTTTGTGACTGTATTTGTACATGGGGTCAAGTAGGTTGAAGATCATGAACTCTAAGCTCTTGGCAGCTCAGCAGTAAATACAAATTCTTACGCTTGAGATTACAGGGAAATCAAATGGAGATACAGGATCCTAAACTGTCGCTAGTACTAAAATTTCTCCAGATGCCAAAACACTTTCTTTGGAGGTTTGATCTAGCGGAGTCTGGCTAGTATCTTCATCCGTTTAAAATTTGCAGGTGTATGAACAGCAGCTTCACAATTTACACAGGAGGTTTACAGTCATAGAGACAGAAAAAATAGTCAACATCTAAGAAACTACTAAAAATAATGTGCCCTATTAGCTTGCCACCTCCTGAAAACTGTCAAATCTATAATAACTAGTCAACTGCAACTGCAGCTGAGGAGCCTTTATTATTTAGCATGTTCTAGCCTTAATTTTCTACATGTGCATGAACTAAAATTGAAAGAAAGAGAATGCACAAGCCTGAAAAACAGTCAGAGGGCCAAACAAGCTGACTCTCTAAGATGACTTCTGAAAAGGAATTTGTCTATATCTAGTTAGTCTGCAATCTCATTTTTTTCTGTTTTCATTTCAGTTGCAATAATGCTCAAAGGGAATGCTCTCTGTCAGAGAGCTCACAGTTTAATTGCAAATGGGATTTGTGACTACCAAATTAGCTGGTGGAAATGGTTGGGCTACGTTGTTACAAAATGTTGGCATTTTGGCACTGTGTGAAATGTGATGGCATCTTCAGGTATCAAGAAAGTTTGGATCTCTCTATTGTAGGCTGCATTTTAAAAATGGGCAAGTAAGAAGTAAGGTTTTTTTAAAACAAACAAACAAACAAAACCCAAAAAACAAATCCAACATGGATTCAAAGGTACTACAATGTTTTAAAGGAAAAGAATATAAATAAATGCATAATAGAGCGATCACTCAAAAAACTTACATATAGGAGTTATAGTTAATATATGTCAGCATTTTAATGTTGGTGTCTTATATTACCAAATAATAATAAAAAATATTTACTCAATTCTACAATACAATCCAGAAGGAACCAAATTCTGACAACTATTTTTAGGCCTGTAGCAATCAAAAGGCTATTAAGAACGGACGGTTAATATGAAAATATTAAGAACAGCTTTGTTAAGCCTGCTGTTAAAATCAGCAGAAGCTAAACAAGGAATGTTATTACATTCTCATTCCAGAAAGAAAACACCCAGAAAGAATACATTTGTAAGTCTAGGGATTTGTGAATAAAGCTCCATAGCACGGCTTTGGGAACTGGGGACAAGAAGCCAGTAGTTACTTATCTTCTTGTTGGAAGAGGATAGGGAAGAGGGGAAACAAAACAAAACAAAACAAAACAAAACAAAACAAAACAAAAAAAAAGGGAAAAAAAAAGTGCATATACCTAAAGCTGGGGGAGCAAAGCAAAAACACGGTATGCTAAAACTCTCTCAAAAGAAAATTCTGCTAAATTGACCTACTACCTTTAACACAACAATTAATTTATAACTATAATTAAAAAAGGCTAGTGAGATACAAGATATGTCACACTTTTTTGCAAGTACTTGCACATTTTTGACAGTACTCTGCCGTAGACTAGATAAAAGATACACTATATGTTGTTTAAGTGGATAAGAGACCTGAGGTATGACATTCCTGTTGAAAATTGAAGAAAGTGTTTCTGTCTTATTCTAAGCCTTTCTATTATAGCAAACTTGCAATTTTCTACCTCGAGTGTTCTTCATTTAGGTCAACTTTGAAATATTCTTCTTTTGTGGCTACATTTTCCCTGCTAGTTGATTTTTTTTTATGTCACTAAATGGTTCTGTGTATCTACAGCAAGAATACAAAAGACAAATGTATCTCTTAGTATTTGGAAAATAAATGAACAATGACTTAATAGAGGAAATTGCCTTAGATCATATGGGTAATATTCAGGATTTTCTTTTGACAAGGGCCAGAATCATTAATAATCTTAATAAGGGTGCACTAATTAGCTGGGGTTCTGAAAGCTCCTGCTCTAGCAGTCTTGGAGACCTTGCAAGGAGGGAACCCCCAGCAGGCAGCTCCAGGCCC